GACTTACAGTTGACGGGAGCTAGAGTCATATAGTTTGGAACAGGTGTGGTTGTGGTTGTCATTTCAGCGGGGTCCAGACAAACAATAGACGTCTGTCTATTGGTCGTCTTGCATGCAGAAGGAAGTTCATTGGAGAATGCGCATACACCCAAGTGAACAGTGGCAGTACTTGGCGAGCTTGAAGGCAGTACTACTCTTCCAGTACAGTTAAATTCAGATAGCAGAGGTGCGGAACTAGGGCTTTGTCGTTGGCTATTCATTATAGGTACACCACGAGGCGGACTGCAACTAATAAGAAAAAACTAGAGACTTACTATCCAAGCATGAAACATGCAACTGATGCTGCTAACTCGTCAAAGCCGATATTGCAAATCGTCCCCCAAGTTCCATTGTAATTAACCTCTAAAACACCATCGCGTTTTTCCGGATAAACACTTGTCCCAGCAGCCAGGCGTACAGCTTTGATACCACCGACCTCTTAATTGGTTAATGCTTAGATTTTGAAGTCGTCTCACCTAAGTGTGTCTGTGAAAACGCAGTCTCAAAAATCGACACGAATAGTAATACGAAAAACACATGCATCTTCTCGAACTGCCGCTACGCGTTGCTACAATAAAGGACGTATGCAGTAGTGCAAACAAAGCATATGTCATAATCTCTCTCTATATATACACTATTTACATGAGGTTATTCAGTATTCAATTATGCGACTTCGAACAAATAAAAACCGAGTTTAATTATCGTCGTGAAATGAGTTTTCCAATAAGAATAATCATTACCTGATTTGGATTAATGCAAGTATTCATATAATATCCCTTCTGACCAGCATCCACCTCATTGACTGAAGCCGTAATATATTATATTTCAGATTCAGTATATTCTGGTGAGGATGGAAGACTTCTAGCTTGTGTTATCCTTTTCTCATAAGCATCAGTCTTAGTCTAACCTCTTTTTGAAAGAGTCAATTGTTGGTGCAAACACCACTTATTCAGGCAATCAGTCCCTAAATATTCAGGTATGGGTGGAAAAACGAGTTCTCTTCAGCCATACAGATCTTGAACTCTACTCTTAGTCATCTGTTATCCTCCGGCCTGGTATGAAGACATACACAGAATAGTCATAGTCATTTCCTAGATTTTCGTGTATTATCGTGAAATCTCTCAGCTGTTTCTATCATAGGAAGTAATGATTTAAACTCTCAAGTCTTTCAAAGCATGGGAAGTTAATTATACTATAAGTTTCGCCTTCCTTTGGACTGTTTCTAGATAATACTAATCCTTCATGAATCGAGGGTTTGGTGTCTAGAAGCAGTTTTTCAGTTTTGATTCCACTAAAGATGCATGTAAGGTATTGAGAATATCATAGAACGGCCAACACTAATAATGGTGACTGAGACCTGGCTTACTACTGATATACGTGACTCAAAGCTAGTAACAGACAACTACGACATCTATGGGAACGAAAGAGCTTACAAAAGAGGAAGCGGTTGCTTAATATATGCCTCTAAATCCACTAACTCCAATACTTTCAATAACCCAACTACTGACAAACTCCCTGAATCTAAGTGGATAAGCATCCACACAAACGAAAATAAAATTCTCGTGGGATGTATATACAGACCCCCTAATAGCCCTCAAATGACTGACATAGCTATTTGAGAAATACTAGAGCATGTAGCTTCGCTGGACTTTGACTACAAAGTAGTCTGTGGCGATTTCAACTTACCTGGAGTAAACTGGGATACCTGTACAGGACCTAGAAACCATAACGAGCTACTACAAGCTTTAGACGTAGGCGGATGGAAGCAGTGCGTACGCCTCCCTACAAGAAATGAAAACACTCTTGACTTAATCCTTTGTCATGAAATAGAGCCCATCTCGATAGAGGTAGGAAATAAACTTGATAACAGTGATCACAGCATATTGTACTGCACGCTACCCCTCCGACTAACAACTAAACACACACCTAAAAATTCCCCGGTGCACTATCAGTATAGGGACTATAAGAATGCCGACTGGGAATTCCTATCAGATCTGCTGAGAAGTTCTGACTGGGAAGAATACTTCATCAAAAATAACTTAGAAGTATCACTCGATATTTTCTACAAAACAACTGGCTCAGCAAGAGACATAATCGCGCCCCTAAAATCTGCTCTAAAGACACCAACTCCATTTATAGACCGCGAAACGCGACTAAAACCAAAGAAATTGAAAAGGAAATACCATGTATTTAAGGAATTTAATGCGTTAAACCAAATACATGAAACTCTTAAACGGCTTGAAGATAAACGCAAAATGATGTCACAACTTGAAGAAAATAAAGCGCTTGTGGGTAACTCCAAAACTCAGGAACTTTGTAGGATATTGCAGAAACGTCTAAAAAGCGGTAAAGACAATACTGTAAGCAGCTTGGAGCATAAGGGTATAATATACAATGATCCCCAGGTTATAAGTGAACTCCTCAATGAGTGGTTTTGCAATGACGCCAGAGTGCACCCGACCCAAAATTTCCAAATGACCTGCAAAAGCAACCACAAATTAGGCGGAATAGACTTTAATATACAAAATATAGACTCAGCGATTAAGACTTTGAAGTCTAATGGTAGTACTGGAACAGATGACATACCATCTGTCATGTACAAAAATGGTAGCACGGAAATGGTAGTCTTGTTACTTAGAATATTTACTCTCCCGTTGGAAACTGGAACTTACCCTGAAGTGTGGAAAACCACATACATATTACCTAAGCACAAAGCAGGGGCCAAAACCAGTGTATGCAACTATCGACCTATCAATATAACACCGGTAATATCCCGAATAATGGAGAAAGTGGTTAAAGACCAAGTGTCAGACAACTTACTAGAACATGAACTTATCAATCCATCACAACACGGATTTCTTAAAAAAAGATCATGTGTGACCTGTCACATAGACTTTTTCAATGAAGTTACACGAAGTAGGGACAACAGAGAACTAGTAATTGTACTATATTTCGATATAACAAAAGCCTTCGACAGAGTTCCCCATAATCTGCTAGTCAGCAGGTTATGCTCACTAGGGATATGTGATCCTCTCCTGAGCTGGATAAAATCATTTCTCTGTGGCCGAAGTCAGACAACGAAAGTTGGCTCGGTAATCTCAAGGCCTAAACCAGTAAGTAGTGGTGTAATCCAGGGAAGTGTATTAGGCCCACTCTTATTCATAATAAATATAAACAGTATCTGTGAATGCTTTAGTGTAGGTAAACCAATACTATATGCAGATGACTTAAAAAGTGACGTATAAATGCAAGAACACAGATCTTGGAATAACAGTAAACGCCATACAGCAAGAATTAGAAAAAATGGATAGATGGTGTGACACCTGGCAACTCCAATTTAATGTCGAAAAATGTGGCTGGCTCTGCATAGGTCGCAACAATTCAAGGCCATGCACTTCAACGACTGGAATCTGTACTGGACCTAGGGCTGAAATATTCACATAAGTTATCATTTTCTGAACATATCTCCAAACAAGTGTCAAAGTCACGCAGACTTATCGGCTTTCTACTTAGGAACTTCTACAGAAATGAGTCTAGAATTCTGTTGTACAAGGTTTGTGTGCGTCCTTTATTTGATTACTGTTCATTCATGTATAGTAGCATACGCATAGAGGACAAATTGAAAGTCGAGGGAGTGCAGGGGCACTTCACGTTAAAATTACTCGGAACTGAAAATGTTTCGAACTACTCCACTAGATGTGATACCCTAGGACTAGAAACACTATGGCTAAGACGCCTGAGACTAAACTTGACACTTTACTATAAGCTTCTAAACCACTTAGTTTTTACCTCTACTAATGGCACTCGACTTTCAGATGACAATGGCTACAAACTAAGACACACTAAGGGTACAGTAGCTATCGAACAATGTAAAACAGCCACAAGGCAAAAGTTTTACTTGATTAGGTATGCACAGATATGGAATAAACTGCCAATGGAAATGCGTCAAGCAAGTACATTGGCCTCCTTCAAAAAGGTGCTTAATGACAAACTACAACAGTTTGCAAACGATAGTAGTTCTAGTTCCTATCTGAGAGCCTCCGAAATTATAGGTCCATTTAATGTATAAGCTTAAATACTACACCTGTTGTTTTTTGCCTATATTTATAATTCTAGATAAAACATTAACGGTTAAGATACGTATCCTCAAACAGACAAGAAATCTCGTTTGTAAAACTACTGCCCAACACAATAAGTGGAATAAAATGGACATAAACCGACAACATGAAAAAGGTATAACTCACCACAACATCACATGGACAGATGAACGCTCGCTGGGCACCATATATCCCTCACCAACTGCAACCCACCTTTCCTTAGATAATGTGATGAACTTATATCCATAATGTTGCTGAGCAGTTACTATTCTCAACTCCTGTCGGAATAGCTGAAACTCATAAACCTTCCTCACGCTAAGAAAATACCCACGAGCAGTAGAAATCCATTAATCAATGCGTCCGAAGCTTATGTACTTACTCCCAACAATGACATTGAAGATCAAATGAGATATGCATATCGCCGATTTCAAAATAACACATCAATGAACTATAATTCGAGGACTCTGTACACAACAAAGTTATGTATGAATATTGACTTCAAGCTTTATTTTTTTCCCAGGCACTTATAATCCATCCACCAAAGACCTGGCTTTTTTTGTTAATGCGAAGACAATACTCCTGTATTTCCTGTTGTGTTGCACTCACTGACAATCTAGCAGATTTTTCCAACTTTGCACAGAAATGATTGTATGTAAGTGAAAAGGCTGTTTTATACTACTGGGATTAACATTTATCAAGTGTATGTATAATCTCCAGCGAACATGTAAAGCATATCTTGCTACTGCCTGTGAATTGTGATTGAATTATATGGTTCTATTTCTGTAACAATTTGATGATGCCTGTAAACTGGCGTCCCTCATGTACTGTACTATGAGAATAAATTTGTTTATTTATTTATTTTTCATGGGCGGTCCAGGTAAAGGCACTGCTTATCCCTAATAAGAATGATGCAGACCTGCTAGCTGTCACCAAACGACAGTGTGTCGTGTTTTCAAATCATGATTTAAGATGACACATAGATTTGTGCGTGTGAACTAATTGAATTAGTATTCCCTACATGTCATACATGTCACGCGTATATATATATATGCGCTGACACCCCCATGACCATTGCAAATGGTTGCGTACTTCGTTAAGTTGATAGCGGTTATTACTTATTTGGAGCAGTCCAGTAGTTCCTTGAGAGCTTACAGCATGTAGCGGTAAATAATTCCGCAAAATTATTGACCACAGCAATCATCACTGAACATTGGATGCTGACCCTCACTGTTTAAGTCAACTTGTTTAGCTGAAGGCTTCCGGTCAAGCATCCATGCCATTTGGTACTCCATTGTTTCACGTTCGTGCACGATCACTAGCCAGCTAAGCATTCATCTCGGTTTACGATTTGGTCCCGAAATATATCTGGTAGATTGGAGGATCAAATTCTGTTGTTCTGCTTTGCCTTTGGTCTACGTGGAACGAATACTATAGAAGTTGTTGATATTAGATCTTGCTTCAGTATACTCTGCGCAATTTGCGAACGTTGATACCGTCGGCCTTTATAGGCAACTTGAATTTAGTAGTCATCCAAATATGCAGGTCGTCTGCCTCGACAAACGTGGGAGTCTCACTAGGTGCAGGTATTTCGCCGATGCACAGAATACGACTAGGCCTCACATAGTACCCTGTGGAAAAACACCAGTGTCATTGTCTAGGAATAGTTCTGAGTTCATCCTGATTCTCCTTCTCCTAAATATCCCGAATACCTTGACAAGATAGAATGGTCTGCTGTTCATTCAATGGGTTCCCAGTTTCTTGAGCAGGCATTCGTCAGGCAACTTATCCAAGGCTATGTTGAAACCCCGCCTAAGGCTCTCCAAGGCAAAAATAATTTGAATATAGGAACCAAAAGTTCAGCGGAAAGTCTTTTTTCGGCAAGTTACAGCTTGAAAACGTTACAAGTGCAAACGGTCATAGGTTCACATGTTGCATGTTAGAATTTATTCATCTTCTTGCACCTGTTTTCTGCTAAAAGTAGCCATACGTGCCTGCTGTCTCACTGAAAACCTTATATAATAGGGTATTCTAACAAATTACCTACTCAACATTCAGTCTTTGATTTATTAATTAACTTTGCCCTTGCACGCACTTTTGAAACGTGTGCTACATTTGGTCGTGTAGCTTGCATGTAAGTTTTTGAGGGAGTGTTCAGTTATTTTTTGCATTAGCAATCTGCATGACTAATTAATGAATTTAAAAAATACTACTGTGGCTATTAAGCTGAATTGTTATATTCTCCTGAAGTTAAACTATAGCAGCCACCATCAATAATTCGACTTTATAACCGTCGAACTAACCTTAAAGAGACTGTAAATCATAATTACAGTAATGATGGGGAAGTTAATTTGTTCAAATACGTTGGAATGCAGTTATGCAGCAAATTTATCAGTCTCTGAGTTGCTTCACTGTTACTGATTTTCCGAGTTTATTTAGAATGTATTTAGTGGCTGTTACTATAGTTTAACTCACCCTTATACACCAAAAGGATATTCAGTCGTTATTTAGAACGTGGTCTGTGCATAGAACGCGTAAATTCTTGCCTATTGCTAATTGTACAATCGTTTGTGACGTCACCTCGCACTTTAGTTACTCTGGACAAGTTCCTTTTCTTTGTGATATATCTATATTTCGAGAGAAAATGAACTCATTATGTGGGCAGCGAGAGAGTACTGTTGTCTCATTCTTTCTTTAGCCCACGAAAATCACCCATTAGTCAGTTAAAATCGGAATTCCCACCTCCAATCTAAGCTACCTATCATTATTAATACTGTGCTAGAGATCAGTGTCTATAAATATGCTTTGCGCCATCTAGGTGGGTAGTACTGTTGTATGATTGGCAAAAGTATTTATTTTTTGCAGGCTAACCTGAATTTTTGTGCTAGTTCGTGTATTTAGGTAGTCGTGTGAGTACTAGTGGATGTCTGATAGACGAAATTTCTAATGTTATAGTGGAAGTTAGTGAAATATGTACCGGTTTGAGCCACCTCTGGGTCTGTCACGACATCCCTGAAATGAGAATCTACGGTGACTGTGCATCTCCGTAGAATTGCTTGAGATCAACGGCATCATTGTGTGAGTAATTCTGAGGCCCGACAGCTTGTTTCAACTCGTTTGAAGGTTATCATTTATTGAGTTTCACCATCTGGACACACCGACTTCGGTGGCTTGGAAATGTGCTGCGAATACTTCGCAGAGGCTTCCACATCGGTCGCTGTTTGCTAACCCTGGTGCTAGATAGAAAAAGTGCAGAGGTGTTCAGTTTATGACTTGGCGTCGTGGATTGAAGAATGTTTGTAATACGTTAGCTTCAGTTAGTAAATCGCGATTCCTTGGGTGGGTTCCGAGAAGTAGTTCAAAACTGTCGCTCGAGACTTTATGAGATATGGCCAAGAATCCCAATCAGTGGCGGATATGCTGCAATTTTCTTCTTTCCCCCATTTCTGAATGTAACATAAAGTGATGAATTTTGAATGATCGTTTAAAAATGGTTTAAAGGTATCTGGGTTATTTCAAAAATCTCACTACCACTGAAACTGAAAAGCATTTGTCCGTAAAAAAGGTTTGAAGCCTGTCTTTAGCTAAATATTATTGTAGACATTAAAATGTAACCTAAAATTTAGAATAGTCTCAAATATCCATCGAACAGCAACCAGTATATCTGTTCTGTTCCAATTTTTGATCGAAATCTATCAATCAGGTGTGCAGTGTGGCTAAAAAGTTAGGCGAAACAAAATTCCAATGAATTAATAAGCTACGCTTCACGAATCTAACCTCTGTGCGATAGATGAAAAAGACTATCTGTTATATATGTACAACAACAGCAGTTGAAAAACTGTGTAATGATCAATAAAAAACAGAAATAAGCCGTTTTAATGCCCCGGAAAACTCAGTTATTTCCTCTAAATACAGAACTATAATTTCTATACAATATCATATGATCACCAACGAATTGATTGGTGACGAAATCTCAGCACGGATCCAAAAAGCTCGGGCTGCTTTCGCTAACTTACACCATCTCTGGCGTAGGCGTGACATCCGGCTATCAACCAAGGGACGTGTGTACTGCTCACCAGTTCGCTCCGTCCTTCTCTATGGCTCTGAAACATGGCCAATACGAGTTGAAGACATGAAAAGGTTGACTGTTTTTGATCATAGATGTCTACGATCTCTTTCTCACGTTAGGTGGTATAATAAGGTAAGTAATGTTGACGTCAGGTCGTAGAGTGTTGGGCAAAGAGGGAAAATCAATCGAAGAGGCTATAAAGTTACATAGATTGAGATGGCTAGGTGACGTGCTGCGCATGCCTAACCATCGCCTCCCCCGACGGACGGGCATTACTAGCTGATATAGGTGCAGGTTGGAAATGAGTAAGAGTAAGTGGTGGCCAAACAAAAACATGGCCTCATCAATCCATGAAATCCTTGACAGTTAAACTGAGTCAGGTAGGGAGGGAGGGAGATGCAGACTTCCGGGTTGGGGCCCGGCCCGCCCTCGGGACTCTAAGAATCAATCAATGAAGGCTGGAGACAATAGGTGACATGGCTCAAAATCGTTGTCAATGGCTGGCTTACGCAGATGTATTCAGTCTCTGTAATCTTTCATATTCCTTTCTACCATTACTCATTCTGTTTCACTCTTATACTTGTCAAAACTCTATTGATTCTCTTCATTCATCTTCTTGTCTACCTTTGTGTGGTATTTGGAACGTGGCAACTGGAACTGCTGCACTTCGGTGCCAAGTTCTATGTTGAATCCAGACAGACAGAGACAGACATCAACTAGTTGTGCTTGCTAGCCAGATCGAAGTGATGTTAACACCGAAAAGCTGTTTCGCACACACTCATCAGTGACGCACCTGGTTTTGATTCAGCTTGAGAAGCGCTTGATCAGTTCAAACTACTCCGAAGGAAATATGGTAAAATAATAATGCTCTTGAGCTGTGTACATTGCGAAGTAATTCACAAAATTTACGAACTAGTTCGCAAACTGCGCCACTTTGACTTTTAATTCACAGTGTAACAAGTATGTAAACCTGTGTCTGGTTTATGTAAAAATGATACTTGTATAAATCATAGCGATGTCTAAACAAATAAATAATTAGTTCTGCAAACTGAACTTGACTGTACCTGAGATAGAAGAGCATCAGTGTTACGTGACACACACACTGCCTGTTTGAAGTGGTTTTTAGTTTTGCTTTCGCATTAAAATCTTACCACCGGTGGCTACGGACTACCACAAGGTGAGTCGGGATGTACAATTTTCGAAGTTGACCCTTCACATAACTGCCATTCCCCATAGCGGAGGCTTCCTCCTGGTCGTTTGAGGGAAACACCTTCCTGATGTTATATCTTTATTTATGCGAGACCGCCATCACATTGTAAACTGCTTGTCCTATGTTGGTGACTGGTTTTAGTCTGGTTACCATCCAAGCGACCACTCTGGCATGATGCAACCTTCAGGAAGATTTGACCCACCCAGCGTGGCTCGTTGAGTCATCAAGATGTGTCAGTCTGACTACTGCGTCATGGTGTGCAGCCTTCGGTTGGGTTGATCCAACCTTCTTTTAGGAAATACTCCAATTTAGACCAGTTCACCGAATGAAACATTCAAGTTATTTATTTTTATTTCACTGAAATTTATACAAATACTACAATTTTACAATTTTTTTACATATGTTTGCCTTACACTCAGTGCTAAGTTTTTTTTCAAATTATTCGATCAGATCTAGCTAGCTCACATGGTCCCACTATCATTGATGGCATATAGGTTGAAACTACATCTAATGTCAAGTACCTTGGACTGAGTATTTCCTCCGATCTTTCCTGGTCCTCTCACATCTTGCTAGTGACTAGAAAGATGTTTCGCTTAACGTTCTACGTTAGGAAGTTAAGGCAGTCTGGTATAAAGCAGTCTTTGCTTTCTCAGTTTGTCAACTCTTGTACTCTACCCATCCCTCTTTGCTGCTCCCCATTAGTCTTTCCTGGACTACTTAAGAAAGACTTTGCTTTGCTGAGTAGGGCACTAAAAGCTGTTAGTAGGGGAAGTGGGATATCGTTAAACCAACTGGTTAACACCATGGTGGATAAACATATAAAGTCATGTAAGAAACTAGCGAATTCTATATTGTCAGACCCCGAACACCCTCTCTATGCACAGCTCTCTCCTTGCATTTCATCTGGTAGAACTAGAAGCAACTATAGGAGGCTATATGCTAGGACTACCAAGTACAAAAACTCCACAATACCTTATCTGGCACAGCTGTTATGTGATGAGAAATCCGTTAGGTATGACACGATCAACTTACTGTGGCACTCTAACAAATAGTTCCTATTAGCTTTTGTTCTCCTTTCTTTGTTACAATTATATTGTTGCTCACATATTCTATTACACACTAATTTTACATTTCATATCCTGCGGTGCATTGTTTAAATATGTGAATGCAATGCTGTTCTTTTTTATATTTTTCTTTTATTTATCTTTTTTTCTTTTTGTTGTTGTTGCTTTTTATTTTTAAAAATCTTATAAAAATTTATGAGGTAATTAGATGCAATATTGTAATCCATACATGTACCACAAATACTGTTTGGAATAAAGCTATTATTATTATTATTGATCAGCGCTCATATAAACATACATTTTATGTCTTTTTTCTTCCTTTCTACCTTCCCATATATATAAAGATGTGAAAACCTTTCACTGAATTGGCCAGACAAAAGATTCCAGTTTATTTTAAAACCAAAAATGGTTAAAGCTCGTAAAGGTAATTTTGTATTTTTACCACTAGTATTCACATACTTAATTTCCCTTTAAAGTACCAAATGCTACTAAAGAAGAGCTGATGATGTTAACTGTCAGTGAGATTATCTCCCACCTACTGAAAGCCATTGAAGAGAAACGTGATGTTGATTTGAATAAGTAAGTCACAGTTTCTGTCCCTCTCTCTATCTATCTTCACTTGTTACACTTTCTCCTCTCTCTCTCTCCTCTTAGGCTGAAATCTGCTGTATCTAGTAAATACGGTTTAGCTTCACAACCGAGACTAGTCGATTTAATCGCTGCTGTTCCAACAGAACATAAACATGTAGGATTAAAGAATTAATTAAACAATATCTCTTTTCTAGATATTATTACCTCGATTAAAAGCCAAGCCAGTACGATCAGCTAGTGGTGTAAGTAGATCAAGTTCCCTTTCAAAATAGTCATAATAATAATACCGTCTTCTCTTCGTCTTCCTTTTCGTCCTGTATAGATTGTTGTCATAGCAGTCATGTGTAAACCACACCGATGTCCACATATCGCTATGACTGGAAATGTCTGTGTGTAAGTTGTGTATTCCCACTACCACCCCACCCCCTTATCCTTGAATGTATAGTTATTGTCCTGGTGGGCCAGATTCTGATTTTGAATATTCTACACAATCCTATACTGGATATGAGGTAATACTGATAAATTTAATAATTCCCATTGTAGGTAGCATTAAGAACACAAGATATTCAGAGAAGAGACTCTTTTCAACAACGAATTTATTATCAAGCTGTACAATCGTATATATATGGTCTTTTAAGAAATTATATCCACTGAGGGAATTAGGTCAAAGGTGTGAATACATGAAATAATAATAATAATAGTATGAAATGCAATTAAAATATTTGTGATTATAATCATAGTTTAATGTCAAGTGGCACAATAATTAATGTCGTATATAGAATAATACATAAGGTGTATAGATTTTTTGGAAAGGGATACATAATTATAAGATTAGTAGACGAATAAAAAAATGTCACATAACATGGTGTGAAATTCGATAAGATAGAATTCAATATTGTAAAAATAAAAATAGAAAAATTAATAATTTTGGGTTTAAAATGTCAAGTGGGTCAAGTGAAAAAGATTCAGAGTGAGAATAGTAATAATAATCGTAGTAATAAGGGAAAAGTACATAGAATAACTAAATAAACAAAATAAATGAATGTCTATCCCTCTACGGCCAAGGCAGAAGTAGGGATTGTACATACTTCTTTTGTACACAAAAGTCTGGCTTAAAGTCATGAATTGCCAAGGCCTCAGCTGTCTTTAGAAGTCTGTAACGGAGAAAACGCGGGAAGTTAGCATGGATTCTATATATAATCTTAAAATCATGGTCAGGGTTGACAGAGTGACAGAAGTCGATCAGGTGTTCCATTTTATATTCGTCTACTAATCTTATAATTATGTATCCTTTTCCAAAATCTATACACCCTATGTATTATTCTATATACGACATTAATTATTGTGCCACTTGACATTAAACTATGATTATAATCACAAATATTTTAATTGCATTTCATACTACAGTTATTATTTCATGTATTCACACCTTTGACCTAATTCCCTCACCGGATATAACTTCTTAAAACCCATATATATACGATTGTACAGCTTGATAATAAATTCGTTGTTGAAAAGAGTCTCTTCGCTGAATATTGTGTTCTTAACACTGATAAAATCACATATACATATATATACATTCGTATTAAATTTCTTTTTAATTAGCCAACTTCAATGCGTGCTATACGAGCTCGTTACAATCCTTTCATTCAAACACGTCATCGTATTGAACAGGTAAGTGATCTTTTTTTAGCAATAATAGCAGCAATGGTAAATTGATATGTAGATTTTGTTAGGGAACAATATCAGTTAGAGAGAGACATCATTGAAAACCCCGGGGGAGAGTACTGGACGGCTGTTTCGTAGTACTAGATTTGGAATTCATCTTCATGAGAATGCACACGACCCTACTAGACACATTGAACGATGCATCTGCAGATGATTAGGCAAAGCTGGTTGTGACCATTCAGGCACTTGGACGCTAGAATTTGACAACCCGTAAATTCTAACTTTTGTCAGTTCATGTCAACCAATGTCTTCGATAAGTATGTACTTTACCTTGACACATGATGGGTCCCATTGGCCATAACTACTCATTAAGGCTTCAAGGCATCCATTTAGCAGCCTAAATGGTTAAATTGCCAATTTGCCTGACCTCATTACCCATGGATTATGCGTCAGACAGTGGGAAACGAGAAGACAGGGATATCCTGGACCGACCGACGTGAAGAACCTAGAAGACCTGGATTTCGCGTGTGGATGATTTATGTTTGATGTCACACAAAATCGAAGACTTACAAGCGAAAACCGACAAACTGGTGGTCGAAGAAGCAGCCGGTGAAGACAGGACTCCAGATGAACATAGACAAGACGGAGGTTATGAAAATAATCAACCAACAACAACAGCAGCAACAACATCAAAATCCAACGCCAATCGCCATCAACGGTAGGGATTTGAAAGAGGTTACTTCATTCACTTATCTAGGTATGGAGCATTGTCTCAACTACAGGAGGAACCGACGAGGATGTCAAATCGAGAATCGGGAAGGCGAGAAACACATTCATCAACCTGAAACCAATCTGGAAATCTTCCGCTGTCACTCACTCAGCATCAACAACAAAATGATTCGGATTTTCAATACAAACGTCAAGTCAGTCAGTTCTTCTATACGGATGGATCAGAAACTTGGCGGCGGGTCACAAAAAATATTTCCAACAGCCTGTTGCAGACCTTTATCAACAACAACAACTGTCTTCGCTGGCTCTATACTGAATATCAGAAGATGGCCGGAAAGAACAAGAACCAACAAGAAACTATGGGAACAAACAAACAAAACAAGAACCAATCGCCCAAGAAATATGCAGGAGAAAGAAGTGGAGATGGATTGGACACTCGCTGAGGGGGCCGCTGGGTGGGTGACATCGCGCGTCAATCAGGCCATAGCTCGAGTGGAACCCGAAAGGAAGGAAGCGGCGAGTGGGACGTCAGTGCCAGGGTGACATGGAGGAGATCGTGTGAAGAGGAGTTGAAACAGTATGGATTAACATGGACGCATGTGAAAACTACAGCAGAAGAGAGAAGCAAGTGGAGACGTGTAGTTGAAGCCTTATGTTCCACTAGGAACCCAAGGGATCAATAATAATAATCATCACCTATCCTTCGATCCTCGGTGAGGTCGTTGGCGAGCACCGATGAAGAATTCCAAACTAGGACGAAACAGCTGTACTCTAGTATTACTACTCCATGGTTTTTCAATAATCTCTAACTGATGTTGCCTCCTGACCAAATGTGAATGCGAAATTAATCTCATTTTTCTCTCGAAAAACCCATAATCTAAGTAGCAAATTAAATTTTTGAAAAGAAAAAAGGAACGCGAATTTTTATTTCTGTTTTTTTATTTATTTTTCTAGCTTCAACAACTTGGACATACATGTGATAAAGTGGAATTCATTGTTATGGGTGGTACATTTATGTGTTTACCTGAAGACTATCGTGATTATTTTATTCGAAGTTTACACGATGCTCTATCTGGTCATACAAGTCAAAATGTTGATGAAGCTGTTAGGTAATTTTTGTTTTGTTATGATATTGATTAATTAATTAATGTTAAGTGTGGGTTTGCAGGGGGTTGATTACTTGCTGGTTGGATTACAAGTTGACAGCAATTAAAGGACTACTGAAAAAAAACTTGCAGCGAGTACTGGAAAGTACTGTTTCGTCCTACTTGAGACCACCGGAGCTTGGATGCAGAACCTTCTGGTTACAAGCCGAACTAGTAGACCATTCAGCCACCACGACCCGATCTAATGGCCTATGAATTCAAACTTCTGCCAGTTCACCATACATATATATATATATTATTGTTTCCTTTAATTCCTAGAGGAACATAGGGCTTCAGCCGTGCGTCTCCATTGCGTTCGGTTCTCTGCTAGAGTTTTCACCTAGCTCCAAGTCTGCCCATACGTTTTCATCTCCTCTTCACATGACCTCCAAGTCACTCTCACCCTTGCACTGACGACCAACTCGCCACCGCTTCCCTTTCGGGTTCCACTCGAGCAATGGCTTGTCTAGTGATGTCACTCACTTGATGGCTTGTTTCCTCAGAGTATGGCCAGCCAATCCATCTCCCTCCATTTCTTCCTGCCTATTTGTTTCACAATCGGTTGGTTCCTGCTGTGTCGGTTGGTTCGCTCATTGCCAGAGATCCCTCTCTGTTGGTGATCTTTTCTGGCCGGCCGGCCATCTGATCTTGAGTAGTATTGAGCGAAGACAACTGGCTGTTAATGAAGGTCTGTAGTTTGTTTGAGATGCTGTTTATGACGCGCTGGCCAAGTCTCTGATCCATCCGTATAGTAAGTGGCACTGACTGACTTCACATTGGAGTTGAAAATCCGGATGTTATCTTCGTTTTGATGCTGAGTGCTGACTGTTGACCTCCACACAGACTTGAGAGTAGTGAAAGCTTGTCTTGCTTTTCCGATCGATTCTTGCTTTGATATCCTCGTCAGTTCCGTTTGCCTGTAGTTGAAACGATGCTTCCCAGGTAGGTAGGCGAAGGAGGTTGTTTCTTTCATGTTCCTTCCATTTATGCTGGCTGATTGTTGTCTGTTGTTGTTGTTGCTGTTGGTGGTGTTGGCCAGGAATCTTCATCACCTCTGTTTTCTCTATGTTCACCTGAAGTCCTTCCTATCTTTGATGCTTCTTCTATCGCCAACTTGTTGCTTTTCGTTTGCATGTCTTCCAGTTTGTGGGATTCAGACATATGTCATCATCGGCGAAGTCCAGATCCTCCAAGTTTTTGTGTGAGTGCATTTTATGCCTGTTTCCACATTGCCCGCTGTTTGTCGCATTATCCAATCTACTGCAATCAAGAAAATCATTGGCGATAGTAGGCAGCCAGCTTGTCTTACTCCTGTCCTCACTTCGAAGGATTCTGTAAGTTTCCCGTTGCGTTCAAGCTTAGGTGGGTTCGTACTGATAAAGAGTCTCAAACTAGGAGGAAACAGCTGTCTAGTGTTCCCAGATTTCCCAGTGGTTTTCTAACTGATATCAACTTGTGATCAAGCCTGTGAGTAATTTATGTAATCAGTGATGGTATTTTACATGTTCTGTGAACTAGGTGGTTAAATTACGAACCTTTCACTATCCATCTTGACAACAACTTCAAAGTCAGCAGTGTGATAAATCTGTCACTTGCTGAGGACTCTGGGACATCCAGCTAAATTGATAAGTCCCAACAAAGAGGGAGGATGTAGTGTTCATCCTGGATTTTGACGCTATTCATAATCAATCATATGGCATGATGTTTACCTTCATGATGCCATTGATAGCTTGATACGATTATGAATAATGATAATGATAATAATAATTTGTCTTGCAAATGTCACTTAGTAAATAATACTGTTTCACTGATTGTGATTGATCTAATAAACAAATGGATTCGCAAATTTCAGAGATTCAATTGATTTTCCAGATTTGATGATGAGATGATATAATTACGGAAACATTGAAGAACTAGCTGGGATTACTGGATGGAAGGCTGTTTCGTTCTAATTTTGGAACTGTTTGAGAGCAGTGCACACCCATGACCACCCAACCACCAGGGAGTGAACTCAGTACTTTTTCTTGTTAAAAAGCGAGCCCGTTGACCATTCAGCCACATCGGGCGTGTGGGATCCAATGATCAGGCGATGAATTCCTACTTACCTCTTCTAATTCGTGAAATACTGTACCACTCACTATCAACCCGTGCAACATGTGGAGGTCCTCGGTTCGATTCCTGATGGGTTCATGGGTGCGTACTGCTGATCTGGGCCAATAAATCTAATGCCGATTAGTGACTTACTACTGACGAGGTCGCCTGGAGTTTTAGGGAAAGGTCATGACTATAGTGGGGTGAACGAAGTCAAGTGTCAGGATAAACATTCAGCGATATAACAATGTCGCTGTGAATCGACATATGATAGAATCCATGGATACCCGGACTTTATCCTATTAGCTTGATGGCCAACAGACTCTGCTCATGGACAAAAGGTCTTGGTTTTGATGTCTAGTGGGCGATTTTTTATGTGTACAGCTTCATACAAAATTGTAATTTGCAAGAAAAATTGAATTTAACGGATATACTACTATTAAACGAAATAAGTAACATACTAATATGCATGCGAAAATTTATGAGTTATATTCAGATCACCTTGGGTGTATAAGATTAATGAATTCAGTGAATGCAAAATTACCATACGCCATAATTTGACAGGATTGTCTCTCAGGAACTGAATTGTGGACAGACTCGTCTTGTAACCTAAATGGTGTGATAGGTAAGATCCTCAGTAATGTGGTCATGGATGCGTATTGCTGAATAGTCCCAAATTAGAATGAAAGAGTTTTCCATTACTCACTGTTATAGTCCCCAATAGTTTTCTGGGTGATGTCATCTTGAAGCAGGTTAATATATGGAATTACATACATATCAAAGTGTTGGCAACCTCGCCTAATTTACTAGCTCGCTAGTTTTCTAGCCGGTTCCAAATCCGGGTAAAGAGGGATGGTTGGGCGTGAGGCTAGCGACCCTCTACCACAGAAAACTAATCAAACTGTTTTACAGAGACTTTAACGCACAGCACAAATATTGAAAATACGAAAAATACAACAAAAAAATTAGGCCAGTTCTTCTATACGAATCATTATATTTCTTCATACATTTGGTTCCCTTGATAAATTTCGATTGAGGCATTATATTTCTCTTGAATCTCCTCTTCTTTTTTCTCTCGTTTGTCTATCTGTATGTGTTGAATAGCGTGCCAAGTCGAATTGCTAGACTTTTATGTAGAGTTCCATTTTGAAAGGCGGTCAGTTGGCCAGACAGTTAATTCTTTCTTAGGTACATTGTTTGCCTGTCATCGGAGGACAGTAGATTATTTGGTTACAGGATTTCATCATGAGCTGACATCGATTAGAGAATCATTGGGAAACCTACACGGAGTACTGGACAGCTGTTTCGTCCTAGTTTGGAACTCTTCTGCAGTACGCACCCACCACTACTGTTCGGACCCAGGACCTTCTGGTCACAAGGCTAGCGAGCTCTTATACCATTGAGGTCACTGGGACCCGATCCAATGGCCAGCTCATGAGTTCTAACTTCTGCCAATTCACGATATAGCGCGACCCCTAGATAATGTCTTCGACGAGTATTTGTTCTCACACCCGACCTGCTGCACCCTACTGGTCACGACTTCCCATTGGAACCCCAAGTAACTACCTATCTGAATAGGGCCAGTCGCCAGTGAGCATCTCATTGATATTGAAGTATTGGTTTGTAGGGATTTGGTTGATTGGTTACAGGATTTTCATCATGAGCTGACATTGGTTAGAGAACCATTGGAAAACCAAGTGGGAGTACTGGAAAGCTGTTTCGTCCCAGTTTGGGACTCTTCAACAGTATGTTAGATTATTTATTTAGCAGACTTTGACTCACAATCATTGTATAAATGTTAATAATACTTCCCAGTTTCTTTGCAAACTAAAGTGAGTGAGTGGATGAAGGTTTGGAATCTCACACCAGCCTGAATGCTAATGAGTCACGGCTGAAACATCCACTACTTCTTCGTCTTTTCCCTTTGTTACCATATTTAGATTCCTTCTAAGAAACTCAGAGCGGTGATACAGTCGATTAGTTAAACCACACGTTAAGGAGTGAGGCGTAAAATCTAAAAAAACACGGGATATGTCTAGAATACTGTAAATGTATCGTGCATGGGTTAGACTTCAATAACAAACAATAGCCATGGTTGTGAAATAGCAGATACAAGCTCATACTACTTACTAATAGTAAGTAGTATAAATTTAACACAAAAGAAGGTAAAACAACGGACGGATAGGATGGAAATTGCATGGAGGATTTCATCATGAGCTGACATCAGTTAGAGAACTACTGGAAAACCTGGGAGTACTGGACAGCTGTTTCGTCCTAGTTTGGGACTCTTCATCAACACGCACTCTGACGAAACAGCTGTCCAGTACTCCCAGGTTTTCCAGTAGTTCTCTAACTGATGTCAGTTCATAATGAAATCCTCCATGCAATTAAGCAAAATCCCTACAAAACCAATAGTTGAGGATGGAAATTAACATGAAGTTTGGAAGGGAAATGAGTAAATTTCGTTTTGACCTTCAATTTCTATAAACACTAGGTGACTTAAAATATTCAAACTTTCTCACTGATTTCTTTGTCAGACGGGAGAAAGAAAAAGGACTTGAAAAGGCAGCTCTATTCTTGAATACTTGATCCGACTCCTGTCACTCATCCAACCGTAACCATGATTTATAAGATCGCCTATCAAATCCATGCTAACTTGCTGGCCGCGTTTTGCTTAGCTATAAGCTTTTAAAGACAGCGGAGGCCTTGGCAATTCATGAATTTAAGCCAGCCAGACCTTTGTGTACAAAAGAAGTATGTACAATCCCTATTTTCCGTCTTGACCGTAGAGGGATAGACGTTTATTTATTTATTTTGTTTATTTAGTTAATCTATGTGCCTTTCCCTCCTCCATGTCACCCTTGGACGTTCCACTCGCCGCTTCCCTTTCGGGTTCCACTCGAGCACTGGCCTGACGCGCGATGTCACCCACCCAGCCGCCTTCTCAACGAGTGTCCAATCAATCTCCACTTTCTCCTGCATATTTGTTGGGCGATTGGTTCTTGTTTTGTTTGTTCTCATAGTTTCTTGTTGGTTCTTGTTCTTTCCGGCGGCCATCTGATCTTCAGTATAGAGCCGGCGAAGACAGTTGTTGTTGATAAAGGTCTGCAACAGGCTGTTTGTTGGAAATATTCTTTGTGACCCACCAAGTTTCTGATCCATCCGTATAGAACAACTGACTGACTGACTTGACGTTTGTATTGAAAATCCGAATCATTTTGTTGTTGATGCTGAGTGAGTGACAGGGGAAGATTTCCAGATTGGTTTCAGGTTGGTGAATGTGTTTCTCACCTTACCGATTCTCGTCGATTTGACATCCTCGTCCGTTCCTCGTGTAGTTGAGACAATGCTCCCTCCCTAGATAAGTGAATGAAGTGACCTCTTTCAAATCCCTCCCGTTGTTGGTGATTGGCGCTGGATGTTGCTGATGCTGTTGTTGTTGTTGGTTGGTTGGTTGGTTATTTTCATAACCTCCGTCTTGTCTATGTTCACCTGGAGTCCTGTCTTCTCTGACTGCTTCTTCGACCAGTTTGTCGGTCGGTTTTCGCCTGTAAGTTTTCGATTTTGTGTGACATCAAACATAAATCATCCACGCGCGAAATCCAGGTCTTCTAGGTTCTTCACGTCGGTCGGTCCAGGATATCCCTGTCTTCTCGTTTCCCACTGTCTGACGCATAATCCAGTCGACCACAATTAGGAATATCATTGGTGATAATAAGCACCCTTGTTTGACTCCTGTGTTTACTCCAAACGCTTCGCTGAGTTTTCCGTTGTGGATCACTTGACATGTGGCGTTGTCGTACAGCTGTTGAATAAGGTTGATGGATATTTGGGGTATGCCGTAGTACTTGAGTAGTTTCCAAATTACTTCGCGGTCAACACTGTCGAAGGCCTTCTCAAAGGGGGAAGAAGGTTTAGTTCTGATTTAATAATTTGATCTTCGTTTCTGAATGATTATTCAAATGCCTGAAATTTTTTAGTTAAAAAGCATTAATTAAATTTTTCTTTCTTTCTTATTTTTTCCAATCATTAGTTATTCTGAAAGAAGTAAAACAAAATGCGTCGGTATCACTATAGAAACACGTCCAGATTATTGTTTAAAGAAACATTTAAGGTAGGTAGGCTAAATGCGTTCAATTGCCTAATTTTTTTTGTTCAATAGTGAAATGTTACGCTATGGATGTACACGATTAGAAATTGGTGTTCAAAGTGTTTATGAAGATGTTGCTAGAGATACAAACAGGTAACCTTTTTCTTCTGTTATGTTGAAAAGTAATATATATATATATATATGGCTGAAAGAAGGCCTTTGAACTTTGACTCTGATGGCATTTCTACAACATCAAAAGGTACGATGTTATCTTCACTGTTCGAATCAGCGTCACAAGAATGCTGAAGTTAGCGACGTTACCACTGGGTTTAATAATAATAATAATAACAGCTTTATTCCAAACAGTATTTGTGGTACAGGTATGGGATTTTCAGCGTAAAACCATTGTGAATTGATGAAGATGGCGATACCGCCACCGCGTTTCTTCCTAGAACTACACCGATCTTGTCTGAATAATTTGAAATCATTCAGATACACTAGATTGTCATCATATAGATCATGTAGCCATGTTTCTTGAAGTGATGTGACCCCAGTATTACGATATATAATGGAAGACATGAGTGATTGAAGACAGTTAATTTTAGCTGGCTAGGAGCTACAATTATTCCTCATAATTGCAGGAACGGTCATAAATTGAATAGGGGTATTTTTTAAGGCTCTTTGCCACTCGGCATGATGCTTCTTTTTTATCTTTTTTATGATAATTCCGATCAGTAGGTTTTAAGGATATTAAACACACGCGAGAATAAATAATCCGATTAGAGGTCATATTTGAATAAGATTCAATTATTTAAAATGAGTTGGAAATGAGAAATTAGATGCAATATGATTTATAATGTATAAAATATTTGGTAGCCCAAGATTTAAGTGGGCCACCAAGGTCAATACAAAAAATTTCCGACTTACCAAGATTGACATTCTGTAGGACCCCAATGGATGCATTGATGATTGTTCACTGAGGAGTAACCGATGTCATGGTTGCAGTGCTTTGTTTAGATGTTGACTGAATTCCACTAAGACAAGTTTAAAATTTGGTCACCAAGTAAAAGAGGTGATTTAGTCAGCACCATCACTGAAGGTTAGACATTATAGTAGTGGTTACTAATCTTTAATTAACAGACATTAGTGTCTGCGTCATTGATGTTAAACACATTTTGTTGATTCCTATTTGGTTTTCTTAATGTCTACAGAAATTCTCACTTTTTTTGTGTGTCTGAAATCATCTACTCACCTTTTTTACTGTTCAACTTTCAACTTTAAAAAAAGTAGGTTAAGATTGTGGGGATAAAATGTGGGTGGGTGTGTTAGACTGATTTGTTCACCGTAGGTGTTGTATTGATTTTTCTTCACAATTACTTTACTTTTCTTGATACACACTATTCGCATGTTGCTGTGTTGTGTGGTGATAAGAAAATCTTTTTTTATTTTATTCTAAACGTTTTAAAATTATTTTCAGTGTTTATTGTTCACCACGGAGTACTGGAAAGTTGTCTTCTTCTAGTTTGGGAGTCGTTGACAGTACCCACCCACTGGGGGATTCTAACCCAGGACCTTCCAGTTATAAGTCAAGCTCATAGACCATGTAGCCACTGGGAACTGACTCAATCGCCCATGAATTCTAACATCTAACAATACATGAATTTAGTGCAACCAGCAGCCAGTGTAACTGACGATTATTCGGCCTCACTCACGAATGAAATAACTAGGGGGTATGGTATAATTGTTTCATCTTAATTTGTGACTCTTCATCAGTATGTATCCACGACCCCATCACAGATCTAACCAGTGACCTTCAGGTTATTAGACGATTCTATTGAACATTCAGCCACCAAGGACTAAATCCAGTTGAATTATAGAGTATGGATGGTAGTTTCACATTAACTGAGTTCATAAATGTATCTTTCTGTCAGGTGTCCTGAGTATGATTTCGAAAATATCGCATTTACAAAGCATGTTACTTAATTCTTTTAATAGTAGTATATTTTATTGAATTAAAGTTTTGTTGCAGAATACACGTTAGTATTAGGCTTATTCACTGACCGATTGTTCTGCTTTAGTTCATTATATCACATATATTTACTCCAAAGCCTCAGGTTGGTCGGCGGTGGGTGCCTTGCGCTGCGGGTTGGCCCCTCCTCCGCACACCTCTTGAAATGCTCCCATATGACCGGGCGTCTTACATAGCCTCTCCTGAGGAAGTCCTACTCACTGCCTTCACATGGCGGAGGTGTTTTTTCACCAAAGTGAGAGGGCGAAAGCGGATGCCCGGCGCTCTTCACCGGGTTGACTGTCCGTTGGATGACAGTCTAGGGGAGATGGCTAAACTCTGATTCCAAACCTCCAACGACTGGCGTATGAAGCTCACTGGAGCTCACCGGAAGACGTATGGACAAAGGGCTTGTTGGATGTCCTGGATGTCTGGCTCCATTCAAAAAGGCGTATGAACTGAACTCCGGTCAGCGGCTGCCAAGGGATAGTGGAATCCCTACTCCACTCCTACTGCCTTGTAGGTCACACTTGGTTGTGTAAAGGCTAGAGCTGCACTCTCAAACAAAAGGCCGAGCGATTCTGGGGACATCACTCGTACCAAATTCCCATGAAACTTCATGAACTCTCTGGATTGGATAACCCTGTCGCAAAACCTTGCATCAGATCGCCGCGCCTGGGTAGCGATGATTCGAGATGTTCATGAAGCCGGCTCATCCTCCCGTAGGAGATAGCCGAAGTAAAGTAAAAAAGTAGAAGTAATATATTTACTTTCTGTTTCCAATGTTGAGTTTTATCAGTTGGTTATTAATAGTATGGTTAGGTATAGCTAGTTAAGTAAGAAGAGAAGTTATGAAACTGCATTGAATGAGATATGGCTAGGACAAATTACGCATACCAAGCCGTTGTTTTCCTCGTCGGGCAATGTTAGCTGACACAAGATTAAGTTGTGAAAGAGGAGTTTGAGCTGGTTAAATCGAAACTTTTCACTAATCCATTGACTTGACTGAAAATTGTTTTCAGTAGTGCTATCCTTACGACCCCCCACCGCATTCGTTAAATTCTCACTTGTCAGCACGAAAATATTGCACTTCGCGTTAATTTCTGTTTTTTTATACCGTTTCTGTGTTTACTTCTTTTTATCTATTTTCCTACCTTTATGTTTGTTCTTAATAAAAATAATATAGCGACTATCTATCTGTCTGTCTGTTTTCGACATAGAACTTTGCACATATGTGCGCCAATTCAAGTCGATACACTCCCTCCATGTAGAACACAAAGCAAGAGAAGAAAGTAGGAGAAATGCATATTAGAGAGAGACAGTAAACAGAGATGTGAGACAAAGGAATAGTAATAACGAAGAACAAAACAGTTCCGTTGGAAATCATAAGTCACAAGGAGTAGATGCATCTGCGCCAGCCAGCCATTGAGAACGATCACTTTGAGCCATGTCACCAATTGTTTCCAGCCTTCATTGGTTTTTACCGTCCCGAGGACCCCAACCAGGCAGTCAGGAAGTCTACACCTTCCTACGTGGCTGGCCGGCTTAGACTAACTGTTGTAGATTTCATTGACTGGTACCATGTTTTGGTTTGACCGCCGCTGGTTAGCTCTTTTCCAGCCTGACCCATCCTATGTCAGCTAACATTGCCTATTGTCGAGGAAGGTGATTACTAGGCAGGTATGCGTAACACATGTCCTAACCATCTCAGTCGACGTAGCTTCACAGCCTCGTCGACTGATTTCCAATTCCTCCTTACCAACTAGAACTCGACCGATGGCCTAACCTCAATATTGCTCACCTTATTGTACCACTTGACACACACGGGAGATAGAACGCAGGCACCTATAGTCGGCTATTTAATCTTCAGTATGTAGCGAAGTGGGTAGCTGTTGATAAGAGTCTCCAGCTGGCTGTTTTTTAATGCCTTTTGGCGGCGTTTCAAGTCTCTGAACCAATGTAGAAAACCCCGTCTACATGTCAGCCTCGTATTGCATTACCTCGACAATTGGTTGATAAAAATCTCTCCCAGTTTACTCAATCGCTACAGAGAAATTTCAAAGCATAATGAAAATATTCATCGTTTTTTTGAGTTCACATTTATTGATCAAATCCTTAGAGTAGATCTTGAAAAGTTTAAGGCATATAGATGTTACCTTTCATACTTAGAGGCGTGGTATCCAGTTATTAGGATTTCTAAGTTCCCCTGTGAAAAATTTTAATTTCTTATTTTCACTTTATTTTTAAAAGTACTTTTAACACTTCTTGTGTCACTTTATATCTGTTACTTTCTTTGATAACCATTTACTGTATTTCACCGATATCGATCTCATCTCCTGCCAGACATTTCATATTATGTAGACTCAGCTGTTATTCAGTAGTTGATAACTGCCACTTTCACTTAAAATACATGCGATTGTGTATAGCTTTAAATTGAAGTTGGACTACCATAAAGTATACTGCCTCAATCGAACGTTGAACTGAATGATCATTTACAACGGCCATATTAGTAAAATGACGTTATTTGAATTATTCCACTAATATGGATATAATGTGCACAAATTGCTGTGCAAATTTCATCCTTTAACCGTAGTGGATGTGTATCAGTACCAAGAATCCAACTGCTGACTGCTCAGCAGTTCGCTCCGTACTTCTCTATGGCTCTGAAACATGGCCAATACGAGTTGAAGACATGAAAAGGTTGACTGTTTTTGATCACAGGTGTTTACGATCTCTTTCTCACGTTAGGTGGTGGTATAATAAGGTAAGTAATGTTGACGTTAGGCGTAGAGTGTTGGGCAAAAAGGGAAAACCAATCGAAGAGGCTATAAAGTTACATAGATTGAGATGGCTAGGTGACGTGCTGCGCATTACTAGCTGATCAGCTAGGTGCAGGTTGGGGTTAAGAGTAATTGGTGGCCAAACAAAAACATGGCCTCATCAATCCATGAAATCCTTGACAGTTAAACTGAATCAGTCAGGTAGAGAGGGAGATGCAGACTTCCGGGTTGCGGTCCGTCCTCGGGACTCTAAGTATCAATCAATGGCCGGAGACAGACAATAGGTGACATGGCTCAAACTCATCGTTGTCAATGGCTTACGCAGATGTATTCAGTCTCTGTAACCTCTCATATTCCTTTCTACCATTACTGATTCATTCTGTTTGACTCACTCTTATACTTGTCAGAACTCTATTGATTCTCTTCACTCATTTTCTTGTCTACCTTTGTGTGGTATTTGGAAGGTGGCAACTGGAACTGGTGCACTTCGGTGCCAAGTTCTATGTTGAAGAATCCAGCCAGCCAGGCAGCTGACTGATTGAGTGGCTGGTTCACAGGAATGCCAGCAATTCAACTTGTTACACATACATGTAGCACCCAAAGGTAGAGAAAAGTGGGCGGAGTGGAAAGAGATTTATAAGTACCTTAAGTAGTAGATATGTGAGGTAGAACGAACACTTACATAGAAGAACACAAAGATTTGGTAAATATGTAATATTCATCTCTGCCACTGACTAAGATTTTCAGCCATATCATCAGTGGTTTACACCCTGATTGATTGATTCACAGCATCCTGATGACCCCAACCAAGCATTCTACGTCTGCGTACATATCTTAAACCAACTGTCAAAGAAATTAGGGATTTTCAATTATTAATGTATGTGCAAAACTTGGGCACTGTGGTAGTAAGTAATTCCATATAAGTTTGTTTATTAGATACATCACACAGTCAGTGAAACAGTATTATTTACTGGATGACACAGTTTCGAACAAAATTTATTGCTGTTCATAATCATCTCATCAATTGTAATCACACGACTTTGAAACCTGAGTTTTATAGTTTCCTTTGTTTTCTCCTATTTGTCGTGGGGATAGTAGAATCATTCCTATTACATGTATTTGTAGTTGATTCGATAAACAAAGCTTCTGTTATCGATCTCTCCCTCCACCCTGCTGTGACGTTAGATTTTAAAACTGTCATCCTATCCTATCCATCCTATTGTATGGTTGTGTGTGACTGCATGTAGTGCTAAAGCTGAACTATTCTCTAGATTTCTTCTCTTTTTTGGATCAACCAATCTAGATTTTGCTAAGTTTTTATGTTCAGCTAGCCTGACTGCCCCTGTTCTACTAGTTTGACCTATGCATTATTTGACCTGACAATCATTGCAGGCAGGGTATTAGATAAACTAAATTGTTTTGTTTTAAAGGCTCCACAGGATTGGTCCTTTAACCGACAAAGCTTGTTTCTAATTGAGTTTGTGGTTGGTTTGAATGCCAGCCATTTTTATTCCTGCCTTGTTAAGAATTCTGAGTAAGGCTTCCGAGGTTCCTTCCTTGTATGGAATTACTACTGATGATTTAGATTCCTTATTATTGGTGTCGTCATTAATATTATTATTATTATCACTATTATTATTAACATTATTATTGTTATTGTCAAACTAGTAGAACAGGGGCAGTCAGGCTAGCTGAACATAAAAACTTAGCAAAATCTAGATTGGTTGATCCAAAAAAGATAAGAAATCTAGAGAATAGTTCAGCTATAGCACTACATGCAGTTACACACAACCATACAATAGGATGGATGGGATATGATGATAGTTTTAAAATCTAATGTCACAGGGTATAGGGAGAGATTGATAACAGAAGCTTTGTTTATCGAATCAACTGCAAATACATGTAATAGGAATGATTCAACAGCTGTCCCAGATATCTGGAAAATTCTACTACCCATACGACAAATAGGAGAAAACAAAGAAAACTATAAAACTCAAGTTTCAAAGTCGTGTGATTATAATTGATATGATTATGAACAATAAGTTTTGTTCGAAACCTTGTCATCCAGTAAATAATACTGTTTCACTCACTGTGTGATATATCTAATAAACAAACTAATATGGAATCTTCAAGTATTGGTTTTTGTAGGGATTTCGTTTTGATTGGTTGGAGGACTTCATCATGAGCTAACATCAGTTAAACGACCATGAGAAAACATGGGTGTACTGAACAGTTGTTTCATCCTAGTTTGGCACTCCTCATCAGTACGCACCCACCCACCGGGTTTCGAACCTTGAACCTTCTAGTTACAAGGCCAGCGAGCTCGTAGACCATTAAGCCACTCACTGGGACCCGACCGATCCAGTGGCCAGCCCATGAATTCTAACTGCTGCCAATTCATGACATAGTGCGATCACTTCGCAATGTGTCTTCTTCGATGAGTTACTGCCTCACTTCCAACCTGCTGTACCCTACTGGTGGTACCCTACGGCTTCCCATTAAAACCCCAGGTAACTAACTACCTACTTGAATAGAGCCAGTCGCCATAGTGAGCATTGCAAGTTTTAATTTGACCGCTCACAACTCTTGATGAGGAAGACATCTAGTGACATCAACAACAACTACAACAACAACTGGTCATCACACAGTTGTCGTCATCGGACTGCATTCATCACACTATGAAGTGGTTTTGTAATTTCATACATTCCATCGAGGAATTTTAGTGGCATTTGAAGAATAGGATTCGAGGGACAAATATGTTTTTGCAAAACTCTAACTCTAAATATCGACAATAATACATTATTAACAGATATTCATTTAGTAATTTGAAAATTCCCATTCAGTCATAGAAAAAGAAAAGGCGTTCAGCAAAGAGTTACTCTTTTCGGCGATATCATTCTCAAGCTGTACAAACCGCAAATTTATAGTAATTTATCTTGGCAACAAAAGGATGTGTTAATGCAACAAATCACGTAATTTAGAAGGCGTTAATCGGTTAGAAACTAAAATAAAGTTACAAAAGTAGGTTGGGTGACGTTTGCTATCCAAACGAATCAGCGAACACTTACCTTCATGGTTTAATAAAGGAGGAAGAAGATCCCTCCCCGCCACAGCTCTATCCTAGAACACTTGATCGAATCCGGACACCAAGCAAACTCACAAAACAACTTCTCAGTTATCTACACAATACGTGGGAATCTTGCCAAAAGAGTACGAATTAAACTTCTTCAAACTACAGAAGCAATGGCAATTCACATATTGAATCCTGAACTCTGCATACAAAAGAAGTTTGTTCAGTCACTAAATCTACAATGGTCCTGATCTATCTCAACACCAAATACGTAATTTTGTCTTACCTCTTTCTTCTTTGTTTGTCTCTTTTTTAATTGCATTATTTTCTACCCCCACCCTCTATTAAATCTCTACCCTCACGACGACTGTTGCTAACTCCATTTTCGTTTATTTTCAAGTGAATTCTACTCAGATTATCAACTTGACTCTCATTCATTTTTCATTGAACCCTAGCAATTAGATTACGTCACCCAACCTACTTTTGTAACTTTATTTTAGTTTTTAACCGATTAACGCCTTCTAAATTACGTGATTTGTTGCATTAACACATCTTTGGGAATATTCCTTTTGTTGTCAAGAAAAATTACTATAAATTTGCGGTTTGTACAGCTTGAGAATGATATCGCCGAAAAAAAGGAACTCTTTGCTGGACAAATATGTATCATCATTTTTTCTCTCCTTACTTCATCAATGAAGAAATACAAGGTGTGTCGTGTTTTTTTTTTTTTTTAAAATTTCGTATAATCTTGTTTGTAATTTGTGTTATTCCTATCTCATTCTCCTACACTTCACTACACTTTACACCAGAGGTCATACTGTCAAAGCGGTGTGTGAATCCTTTCATATGTCTAAAGATGCTGGATTCAAGGTAGTTGCACATATGATGCCTGATTTACCAAATGTTGGTTGGGAAAGAGATTTAGCCCAATTCGCTGAATACTTTGAAAATCCAGCATTTCGATCAGATGGATTGAAAATTTATCCAACACTTGTTATCCGAGGGACTGGTCTCTACGAGCTCTGGCGTACTGGTCGTTATCGAAGTTATCCACCTGGAATGCTGATTGATTTAATTGCAAGAATTTTAGCATTAGTTCCACCATGGACTAGAGTTTATCGAATTCAAAGGTAGGTGAATCATGTTTTTCTTATTATTATTGATTTTTTAAAGTAATTATTGATTGACTGAGTGTCAACATGAGACTTTGCACAGAAGTTAAGCAGTTCAAGTTGCTACACACTTCATAAATGTTCCAATCTGAAGTTGACAGAATGGTTTTTTAAGGAGACCGTAACTAGTGTGTCATTCGGCTTGTGGTCATTATTAGCGGACACAGAATTGACCGGAAGTTATGGGACTTGTCCTAATTGCAGTAGATTGGATAATGCGACAGACAGTTAATGGGTAATGAGGAAACAGGCATAAAATGGAATCACACACACAAAAAGAGACTTGGAGGATATGGACTTCGCCGATGTGATATATGTCTGATTTCCCACAAACTGGAAGATATGCAAGCGAAAAGCAACAAGTTGGCACAAGAAGCATCAAAGATAGGAAGGACTTCAGGTGAACATAGAGAAAACAGAGGTGATGAAGGTTCCTGACCAACACCACCAACAGCAACAACAACAGACAACAGATAGGACTAGACGCATTACACTAGTTACTCACTAGTGTGCAATCAAAAATATCCAATACAGTCCTACAGGAGGTCAGTCACGAGCCTGAATAGCTCAGTGGTAACGTCTCTGACTGCAGCACTGGGTGACGCGGGTTCGAATCCTAGAAGGGGCATCAGTTCCTTCCAGGTTGCAGATACGCCTTGCTGATGAGTGCCAACTAGCACGAAACCTAGGTCCAAGGCTTCCTGCGGCCGATTTCCTCCAACCATCTAATACCAACGATTCACAGTGCACCGTAATGGCGAGCCACCTAGCATGGTGGCCACATTGCAAACATGACTGATAGAATTCAGTCTGCACCGAAGATAGGACTAGACGCATTACACTAGTTACTGACTAGTGTGCAATCAAAAACAACAGACAACAATCAGCATAAATGGAAGGAACCCAAAAGAAACAACCTCTTTCACCTACCCTACCTGGGAAGCATCGTTTCAAGTACAGGCAGACGGAACTGACGAGGATATCAAAGCAAGAATCGATCGGAAAAGCAAGACAAGCTCTCACTACTCTCAAGTCTGTGTGGAGGTCAACAGTCAGCACTCGGCGTCAAAACGAAGATAAGATCCAGATTTTCAACTCCAATGTGAAGTAAGTCAGTGTCACTTACTATACGGGTGGATCAGAGACTTGCACTGCGCGTCATAAACAGCATCTCAAACGAACTACAAACCTTCATTAACAGCTAGCTGTCTTCGCTCAATACTACTCAAGATCAGATGGCCAAAACCAACCCAGCAGGAACCAACCGATTGTGAAACAAATAGGCAGGTAGAAATGGAGATGGATTGGCCATACTTTGAGGGAAACAAGCCATCAAGTGAGTGACATCACTAGACAAGCCATTGGTCGAGTGGAACCCGACCGAAAGGGAAGCGGCGGCGAGTTGGTCGTCAGTTCAAGGGTGAGGGTGACATGGGGGAGGTTATGTGAAGAGGAGATGAAAACGTATGGGGGGAAACTTGGAGCCAGGTGAAGACTCTAGCAGAGAACCGAACGCAATGGAGAGGCATGGCTGAAGCCCTATGTTCCTCTAGGAGTTAAAGGAAATAATAATAATTATATGGGACTTATCTGCAGAATAGTAATAACAGTAGGAGGAAAGCAAGATGATGAAAGTAATAGAAAGGAAAGTGGATGGTAGCCTAGGAAGATTTCTGCTGCCCAAACCATCGAAGTTGAATTATTCCTGAAGTACATTAAGTAGAGAAGTATTAGTTTTGCGTGACTGCATAGCCCAGAGGATAGCTACCTATTAGAAGTGGTTTTTGGAGTTGTATCCGGCTATCGACTACCGCGAGGTAAGTTGAAGTTTACACTACTCGGAGTCCATCTTACCTAACCCCCAACTCGCCAGAACGTACAGGTAACCTGGTTGACTTTCTGTTCTGTTGGAGGGAAACATTTTACTGCTGTTGCACTCCTATTCTTCAGCAATACAACTTCGCCTACCCACACTCCCAGCATAATGTAAATAACTTATACTATGTGATGGTAATTGTTTTTACTGTGAATACTGGCAAAGAGCTACACCCCAGAAGGGGAAGCCTGGTTCATTCGCGTGATCCATTCTTGTTGAACTTATAGTGCTTACACTAATTATCTATAGCTTCATAATGTGAATGCATTCCATTCCACTGTTTACGTGATATGGTATTTCTTTTCGTCTTCTACAACCAATTTGAAGTATGTTAGACGTTTTTAGACATTTTGTGATGTTCAGTCTTTTGGTATTTCTAAGTGTTTTTCTAAGTCCAATCCACCTAAAAAGGGTTTTAACAATCATGTTGTATACAACATTATGAGCTCATCACTGAATATGCGTAACTGCGAATTAGTACTGAATAAAAAATTGGCGTTATATAGTTAACTGTAATCACCGACTTAAAGCTTGACTTTCAGCTGTAAGCGGTCCCAGGTTCAAGTCCCTTCTCATTTAATTCTGCTTAGGCAATTGAATAGTAGTATCATCAACTCTCACAGTCCTAATAATATTGAAGTTTTTCATTCAGTAAATGTGTCTAAAGAGCATCTGTGCTTAAGCAGTAGAATGCTCACCAACGGCTCCACACGTGATCCGGGTTTTGATTCCCGGTCGGTCGGTTGGTTTTCGACATAGAACTTTGCACATATGTGCGCCAGTTCAAGTCGACACACTCCACTCCTTGTAGCACACAAAACAAGAGAAGAAAGTAGGAGAAATGCGTATTAGAAACAGTAAAAAGAGGTGTGAGACAAAGGAATAGTAATAACGAAGAACAAATTAGTAGTTTCATTGGAAATCATAAGTCAGTCTCAAGGAGTGGATGCATCTACACCAGCCATTGAGAACGATCACTTTGAGCTAGCCATGTCACCAATTGTTTCCAACCATTGGCTTTTACCGTCCCGAGGACCCCACAACCAGTCAGGAAGGCAGTCTACACCTTCCTACGTGGTTGGCTTAGACTAACTGTTGTAGATTTCATTGACTGGTGAAGCCATGTTTTGGTTTTACCGCCACTAGATCTTTTCCAGCCTGACCCATCCTATGTCAGCTAACATTGCCCGTTGTCGAGGAAGGCGATGACTAGGGATGCATACGTAACACATGTCCTAACCATCTCAGTCGATGCAATTTCACAGCCAACTCGTCGATTGATTTCCAATTCCTCCTTACCAACTAGCACTCGACCGATGGCCTAACCTCAATATTGCTCACCTTATTGTACCAATTCACACGGGAGATATACAACGCAGACACTTATGATCAAAGACAGCTAATCTTTTCATGTCTTCCACTCTCAATGGCCAGGTCTCACAGGCATAAAGGAGGACGGAGTGGATTCCCAGCTGAAGCGCACTTCTAAGCCCCACCAAGCCGGTAATAAGCCAGATAAAAAGGAAAAGTTAGGCGTGACACTGACGACTTATCTCGTAGGTTATACTTTGTGTATCTGTTTCTATGGGGATGTGTGTGTGTTTATGGGAAAATATTATAACTATTTGATTTTATATGTATGAAGTTAACATTTTATTGTATATGTGTAAAACTTGGGCACTGTGGTGGTAGTAAGTAATTCCATATTAGTTTGTTTATTAGATATATCATACAGTGAGTGTAACAGTATTATTTACTGGATGACACAGTTTCGAACAAAATTTATTGCTGTTCATAATCATATCAGTTGTGATAACACGACTTTGAAACTTGAGTTTTATAGTTTTCTTTGTTCTCTCCTATTTGTCGTCTTAGGGGTAGTATAATATCCCAGATATCTGGGATAGGTGATGAATCATTCCTATTGCATGTATTTGTAGTTGATTCGATAAACAAAGCTTCTGTTATCAATCAATCTCTCCCTATACCCTGTGACATTAGATTTTAAAACTGTCATCCTATCCCATCCTATTGTATGGTTGTGTGTAACTGCATGTAGTGTAGGGCTATAGCTGAACTATTCTCTAGATTTCTTATCTTATTTGGATCAACAAATCTAGATTTTGCTAAGTTTTTATGTTCAGCTAGTCTGACTCACTGACCCTGTTCTACTAGTTTGACCTATGCATTTGACTTGACAGTCATTGCAGGCAGGGTATGAGATAAACTAAATTGTTTTGTTTTAAAGGCTCCACAGGCAGGATCCTTTAACCGACACAGCTTGTTTCTAATTGAGTTTGTGGGTTTGAATGCCATTTTTATTCCTGCCTTGTTAAGAATTCTGCGTAAGGCTTCCGAGGTTCCTTCCTTGTATGTAATTACTACTGATGATTTAGATTTCTTATTATTGGTGTTGTCATTAATATTATTATTATTATTATCACTATTATTATTAACATTATTATTATTATTGGTGTCGTCATTAGTATTTTATTGTATTCATATATCTATTTTTTTTAAATATCTTCAGAGATATTCCTATGCCATTAGTTACTAGTGGTGTTGAACACGGTAATCTACGTGAACTTGTTTTAGCTAGAATGGAAGAATTAGGCGCCACATGTAGAGATGTACGAACTCGTGAAGTTGGCATACAAGAAATACATTCACGTGTTAAACCATATCAAGTATGTGAATTATTGATGTTATTGTTGTTGTCAATGGATAGTAGCATGTTTCTTCATGTATGTTAATATGTATTGTTTTTTGTCTTTGATGGTGGTGGAGGTGGTAAACAGAGATGTGAGACAAACGAGTAGTAATAACGAAGAACAAAACAGTTTCATTGGAAATCATAAGTCAGTCACAAGGAGTGGATGCATCTGCGCCAGCCAGCCATTGTGAACGATGAGTTTGAGCCATGTCACCAATTGTTTCCAGCCTTCGTTGGTTTTTACCGACTCGAGGACCCCAACCAGTCAGGAAGCCAGTCTACACCTTCCTACGTGGCCTGGATTGACTAACTGTTGTAGATTTCATTGACTGGTGCCATGTTTTCGTCTGACCGCCGCCAGCTAGCTCTTTTCCAGCCTGACCCATCCTATGTCAGCTAAACTTGCCCATTGTGGAAGAAGGCGATAACTAGGCCGGTATGCGTAACACATGTCCTAACCATCTCAGTCGATGTAATTTCACAGTTTCGTCGACTGATTTCCCCTTCTTACCAACTAGCACTCGACCGATGGCCTAACCTCAATATTGCTCACACACGGGAGATAGAACGCAAACAGCTATGATCAAAGACAGCTAATCTTTTCATGTCTTCCACTCTCAATGGCCAGGTCTCACAGCCAGCCATAAAGGAGGACGGAGCGGACTGATGAGCAGTACACACGCCCTTTGGTCGATAGTCGGATATCACGTCTACGCCAGAGACGGCGTAAGCTGGCATATGCGAAACTAGCCCTTTGTATTCGTACTGAGATTTCGTCAGTTGGCACTGGCTGATGGTACTTCTCAAGTAAGTGAAGCGGTCAACGTGCTCTTCCACTTCACTTCCTATTTCTAATTTTCCATTTTACAAGGGGCGAGTCGCATGCCAAACATACGAAGATTGCTGCTCAGGGTGTTCAGAAGACTCTGCATTTTGTTAGCGTCCTCGCCTAGAAGGACTAGATCGTCGGCATATTCTAAGTCAACAAGATTATTCCCTGGTAGCAAGCCAATCCCTGAGTCTCCTCATGACACTATATAATCACTTGAAATGAAAATGATGAAAAGGGGTTACTCAACAATCTCACGTGTGTTTCCATGCTCATTTGACTAATGATGAGCCATATATATTGCATGCGGGTTGCTCATACTTCTTAGCTGCATCTTCGTGACTGAGAACGATTTCGAGGCATATAATTATGATAACTAAGGCTTTATTTCAGACAATATGTAGACGTATATATTACGGAAATTTTTAGCATGTAGAAGTTCCAAAATACATGTAACGTAATAATCTGAAGTATATCAATGTGACGTAGTGGAGAGAATCAATTCTGTACAATTTTTTTCTTTCTTCATTCCCTTCAAGAATTGTACTGCGTTTTGTTGAAAGCTAATAAGAAAAAATGTGCGCAAATTCACATAGTACACATTTTGAAGTCATTACACAATTAAAACAATATGAAATGCAGATCAAGTTTAAGCATTTTGTGTTGTATAGAAATTCTGGTAGCCCAATAATTTAAACAAGCCGCCGTAAAAATTCAATCATCAACTTTTGGATCTTAGCATTTTTAGGGTTAAATTTCGAAAGTGTACATTTGAAGGTGAAGAAACACACCATGAAAATAATAATAGATAAAGATTATGTTCAATGAAGACAGTAAATAAGTGACATATCAGCGAAAATGAGATGCTCACTGGCGACTGGCCCTATTCAGGTAGGTAGTTACCTGGAGTTCCAGTGGGAAGTCGTGACCAGTAGGGTGCAGCAGGTCGCGTGTGAGGACCAATACTAGCCGAAGACATTGGCTAGCGGTTGCGCTATATAGTGAATTGGCAGAAGTTAGAATTCATGGGCCATTGGATCGGTTCCCAGTGGCTTAATGGTATAGGAGCCCGCCTTGTAACCAGAAGGTCTGGGTTTGAACCCCAGTGGTGGATGCGTACTGCTGAAGAGTCCCAAACTAGGACGAAACAGCTGTCCAGTACTCCCAGCTGGTTTTCCAATGGTTCTCTAACCAATGTCAGCTCATGATGAAATCCTGTAACCAAATCCCTACAAACCAATACGTGAAAATTTCAATAGTCCACTCTAATTAATATAAATCTAATTCATCTGCTGATAGCCTTGTCCGTTTAATTAACATGATTTGATGTCTGTTTATGTTACTCAATAACCACTTGCGATTCTGTAAAGTTTGTGATAAGCGACATCCATTATGTGATACGTGTTCATACATCCGCCGCTGAGGATACCCTGAATCTCGCTCGATAGGCGGAGTGAGTAGGTTTCTCACGCGTTTTTCCACTGGTTGGAATTCCAGTATCTAGATTAATGAACCACAATCTGATGAAAATATTCTCAAGTATTCTCACAATATCATAAATCAGCAATGGAATCAGTGAAAACCATGGAGTGAGTACTGGACTGAAGACATGAAAAGGTTGACTATTTTTCATCATAGATGTCTACTATCTCTTTCTCAAGTCAGGTGGCATAATAAAGTAAGTAATGTTCACATTAGGCGTAGAGTGTTGGGCAAAGAGGGAGAATCAATCGAAGAGGCTATAAAGTTACATATATTGAGATGGCTAGGTCACGTACTGCGCATGCCTAACCATCGCCTCCTCCGACCACCATTACAAGCTGGTATAGGTGCAGGTTGGAAAAGAGTAAGCGGTGGCCAAACAAGAACATGGCCTCATCAATCCATGAAATCCTTGACAGTTAAACTGAGTCAGTCAGGTAGGGAGGGAGGGAGATGTAGACTTCCGGGTTGGGGCCCAGCCCGCCCTCGGGACTCTAAGAATCAATCAATGAAGGCTGGAGACAGACAATAGGTGACATGGCTCAAACTCATCGTTGTCAATGGCTTACGCAGATATATTCAGTCTCTGTAACCTTTCATATTCCTTTCTACCATTACTCATTCATTCTGTTTGACTCACTCTTATACTTGTCAAAACTCTATTGATTCTCTTCTCTCATCTTCTTCTCTACCTTTGTGTGGTATTTGGAACGTGGGAACTCGAACTGGTGCACTTCGGTGCCAAGTTCTATGTTGAATCCAGACAGACAGACCTACCCATGATCCCACCACTAAGGGGAGTCGGAACTCCCATAACCTTCAAGTTAAGAGGTCAATCCGTTGGCAATTCAGTCATTGGGTCTGAATCCAGTGGCGTGTATAGATTTTGATTTCTACCATTTCATGATTATATACCATCGATGAGTATCTGTCGTTTAGTCTTTTGTTTTTTTTTTTTTTTTTGTAAAAATTCCTACATTCCCTTTGAATAAGACAGTCATTGATTAACTTCAAATTGATATTGTTTTATAACAAAATTTTTCTTTTTATAATATATTTTTATTTGAATAGGTTGAACTTATACGTCGTGATTATGTTGCTAATGGTGGCTGGGAAACATTTTTAGCCTATGAAGATCCTTATCAAGATATTTTAGTCGGTCTATTACGTCTGCGTAAATGTTCACCACAAACATTCAGACCAGAATTACGTGTTACACGCCCTACGAATACCACCACAGCTTCTGCTGCTGCTGGTGTTGTTGGCGATCATCAAGGTGATACAGATCCATTGTGTTCAATTGTACGTGAATTACACGTATACGGCAGTGCTGTCCCAGTATCAGCTAGAGATCCAACGAAATTTCAACATCAAGTAAGCTTTAAAATTGAATTTTTAGATTTTCCCGTCGATTGATTGATTTTACTGAAGTGCTCGATCTTAGGGGTTGACATGTCTGTTGGCTTCTTGTGCAGATGCTTCGATGACGATGTCTGGGCATGTAATTTAGAATTTAATTGGTGGATGGTGACTAGCAATGACGATGTTCCCACCATCATCACTCACTGGGAAGTGCAGGTACATTCAGATGACGAGTCCCAAATAGGACGAAATGCACGTCCTGAATTCCACTGCTAGTCACCATCAAACTAATTAAAATCAAGTAAGCTTTGTTGATGATAAGTGTGTCGGTCGGTCGGTCGGTTTTCGACGTAGAACTTTGCACATATGTGCGCCAGTTCAAGTCGACACACTCCCTTCATGTAGCACACAAAGCCAGAAAAGAAGAAAGTAGGAGAAATGCATATTAGAGAGAGAGAGACAGTAAACAGAGGTGTGAGACAAAGGAATAGTAATAACGAAGAACAAAACAGTTTCTTTGGAAATCATAAGAAGTCACTAGGAGTGGATACATCTGCACCGGCCAGCCATTGAGAACGACCACTTTGAGCCATATCACCAATTATTTCCAGCCTTCATTGGTTTTTACCGTCCCGAGGACCCCAACCAGTCAGGAAGCCAGTCTACACTTTCCTACGTGGCTGGCTTAGACTAACTGTTGTAGATTTGATTGACTGGTGAAGGCATGTTTTGGTTTGACCACCATGTGCTAGCTCTTTTCCAGCCTGACCCATCCTATATCAGCTAACATTGCCCATTGTCGAGGAAGGCGATGACTAGGCATCCATGAGTAACACATGTCCTATCCATCTCAGTCGATGTAATTTCACAGCCCCATTGATTGACATCCCCTCCCACCTACCTAGCACTCGATGCCTACCCTCAGTATTGCTCACCGTATAATACCACTTCACACGGAAGATAGAAGGTAGGCACCTATGATCGAAGACAGCTAATCTTTTCGTGTCGTGTGTATGTACAACTGACTGATGGGAATTGTTGTTGTTGTTGGTATAAGCTGACTCACGCTGACTGACTGACGGAGTTTTATTTTTCAACGTAGAACTTTGTACAGAAGTACAACAGTTCAACTTGCCAAACCCTATGTGTCGGGCACAGGTAGACAAATAGGTTGAGCCACTCGAAAGAGCTTTACAAAGACGAAATGCAGCGAAGAGAGAATAATTACATGGACAAAGTTTAGAAGTAAATGGACCTCTGAGATTACAACGATTTTAAACCCTTATCACCAACAGTCTCACACTGTTTGTTCTCGGAGTTTCATGGATTCCGACCAGGCAAGCTATACATCCCTGTGCCGGCCTTAACCAATTGTGTCAAAGGCTTGATTTGACCACCCCTAAGTATTTTCAAACCCTGTCTTATGTCACCTAACACATTGCTCAACGAGAAAGGCGATAGCTTGGTATTCGTTTTGCAGCCATTTTACTAGCAGTTGATTTTATAAATAACCCTATTTATTTATATGAATTATCTAAACACTTAACATTGATTTAATGACTCATCATCAGAAATCGTTCAAACTCTAGATTAAGGAATTCATATAAAATGAAAAAGAAGTTGGCATTAGATGGTTGGAGGCAATTAGCCACAGGAAGCCTTGCCTGACCTAGGTTTCGTGCTAGTTGGCACTCACCAGTCAGCAAGACGTATCTGCAACCTTTGAAGGAACTCATGTCCCTTCTGAGATTCGAACCTGCGTCACCCAGTGAGTACTGCAGTCAGAGACATTACCACTGAGCTATTCAGGCTGACTCACGATTAACCTTCTGTAGGACTGTATTGGATATATTTTTTGATTGCACAGTAGTCAGTAACTAGTGTAATGTATCTAGTTCTATATTCGCTGCAGACTGAATTCTATTCGCATCTCAGAAGGGATATGAGTTCCTTCAAGGTTGCAGATACGCCTTGCTGATGAGTGCCAACTAGCACGAAAACTAGGTCAAGTAGGGCTTCCTGTGGCCGATTGCCTCCAAAGCCTCAGGATGGTCGGGGGTGGGTGCCTTGCGCTGCGGGTTGGCCACCCCTGCGCACACCTCTCGAAATGCTCCCATATGACCGGGCGTCTTACATAGCCTCTCCTGAGGAAGTCCTACTCACTGCCTTCACGTGGCGGAGGTGTTTTTCACCAAAGTGAGAGGGCGAAAGCGGATGCCCGGCGCTTTTCACCGGGTTGACTGTCCATTGGATGACAGTCTAGGGGAGATGGCTAAACTCTGATTCCAAACCTCCAACAACTGGCGTATGAAGCTCACTGGAGCTCACCGGTAGACATATGGACAAAGGGCTTGTTGGGTGTCCTGGATGTCTGGCCCCATTCAAAAAGGCGTATGAACCGAACTCCGGTCACCGGCTGCCAATGGATAGTGGACTCGCTACTCCACTCCTACTGCCTTGTAGGTCACACTTGGTTGTGTAAAGGCTAGAGCTGCACTCTCAAACAAAAGGCCGAGCGATTCTGGGGACATCACTCGTACCAAATTCCCATGAAACTCCATGAACTCTCTAATTGGATAACCCTGTCGCTAAACCTTGCATCAGATCGCCGCGCCTGGGCAGCGATGATTCGAGATGTTCATGAAGCCGGCTCATCCTCCCGTAGGAGAAAGCCGAAGTAAAGTAAAGCAAGTAAGTAACCATCTAATGCCAACAATTCACAGTGCACCGTAATGGCGAGCCACCTAGTGGCATGGTGGCCACATTCCAAGCTTGACTGATAGAATTCAGTCTGCAGCAAAGATAGAACTAAACACATTACACTACTTACTGACTAGTATGCAATCGAAAAAGAAGTTAAATGACATTCGAATAGACGTTAATGGAAAAAGTGCTTGGTTTTGATAGATCTAGTCTTTACACTAATATACCACTAAATATAGCTTTGAAAGGAGTCACAAAAGAACGAAGTTACTCAGAGAAGAAAGCTACCTACTGGGGAAATTATTCTACGAATCGATTCATGCCTCACGTATACTGTCTTGAAATTCCGGGACCAAAAATATATATGTGGACAAACAGAATGGATAACAGTGGGATCTCCAATATCCCCAATGGTAACAGATATCTTTATGGATAGCTGGATCAGAAACTTGGCGGGTCACAAAGAATATTTCCAACAGCCTGTTGCAGACCTTTATCTACAGCTATATTCATTCTATACTCAAGATCGGATGGCCGGGGGGCAGAGCTACAGTTCTAAAAAAAGGTAATATAGTCAGCTTGAGGCAGAGGTTGACTGTTGCATCCTTGTTTATCGGACACGTTCAGTAGGAATAACGCAGTGGTAATACTAGAGTAATGGAAAATATCACCAATGAAATCATTGGATAAGAAATTATGGAATTATTTAAACGAAGTTGGAAAGTTATGTGATTACCTTGAGGTGATTATGAATGTACTCGAAACGTTATTATCAGTAAATGATAAATTTAATCTATAACCTAATTATATTCTCCCACCCCTCCACCTATTGCCCAAATGTTATTTTCTTAACAAAAACAGTTAACAAAAGAATTTTTAATTTCTAAAAAATTATATTTGTTAAATCTCAGCGAGACTGAAATGAGTAATTCCAACATTTCCTGAGTTCAGCTCAGCAAACGCGTGTGAACTTCTTCAGGGAAATTAATCAAAATTAACTCAAAAGGGAACATCTCCTGTTTTTAAAACCTTTGTCCAATCATATAAGTCATGAAACAGGTATCAAGATGTATAATAAACAAACAAAATTGTATGAACTGTGATCAAAATTTGACCTCGGAGTTACGATTCTGTGAAATCTTGACGACAGTTCACATGAATTATTTTGCAATCGAATTAAAATAACAAAGAAACTATGTAATTGATACAATCATCGTGTTTTCAATCGCCGTCGGCTGCAACAAAATGCATATCCTAGATCCGTAGCTGTCGAGTTACCTGACAACTCCAGTAGGTCGATTAAAGCAGCTCAATCTTCAGAAAGAAGACAAATCAATAAGTTCGACAGGGTGCTTCTACTAAACTCTAATCCTAAACACCATCATTTTGAAAATACGTCTCACCATAAAATTCTAGATACTAACAGTTTGAACAGACATGAAGGCGTGATGTTAGCTGATGCATAGGAAATCCTTATTAATAAATAAAAAATGGATATGTATCACTAATTATTAATACTTGGTCAAAATTCCCAACTGTCCTTATCTTCTTATGGAGATGTTAAGAAATGTTTTACAACTGTTTACCCATACACACATACACACTCTGTTTAAAGTGTTTAACAAAAGTAGACCAATATTTGTAAGTTCAGGGTCAAATTTTGATCACAGCTCATACAATCTGGTTAATTATACATGTTGATACCTGTTTCATGATTCACATGATTGGACAAAGTTTTTAAAAACAAGAGATGTCCTTTTATATATATAAACCTCTGTTATGTTAATTTCGATTAATTTCCCTGAAGAAGTTCGGACGCGTTCGCCGAACTCAGGAAATGTTAGAATTACTCATTTCAGTTTCGCTAAGATTTTACAAATGTCTACTTCTCACTCGGCGCCCAAATATTTTAGAACTATTCTGTCAAATCTTGATGACAGTTCATAAGAATTTTTTAAAATTGATTATACTGTCACTGGCTTTTTTCTTTTATCTTGAATACACACACCGAAATATTTCAACGATCAACAACAAGCAACATGGAACACAAACAAAACTTGACATATATGTCAATTTATTGTTTTAAAGGTTTTGACATTGTTGTTGTTGCTCGTATTTTTTTTGCCGACATGAGTTAATTGGGCGGAACAGCAGTTGTTAACTTCTTGACTGACCGAAAACTGTATTTAAATATATACGTTGTAATGATTTTGAGATATGCGCCCTTGTAAATAAAATTGAAATTGATACTGACTACTAGATAAAGAGGTAGTCGTTGAACTTCACTTCTTATGAAACAAGACACTTGTGTGGTTGGTCACAAATTATTATGCTTTTTCTCCCCTTAGTAATCCTTGCTGTGAATAGTCATCTTTCTTGCCAACTGAATAATTAAAGCTTGTTATTATTCAAGTGTTGGCTTGTCACGATTCGATTGGTTGTCTGTCTGTCTGTCTATTTTTGACACAGGACTTTGCACATATGTGCGGAAGTTCAAGTCGCCACACTCCCTCCATGTAGCACACAAAGCAAGAGAAGAAAGTAGGAGAAATGCATATTAGAGAGAGACAGTAAACAGAGGTGTCAGACAAATAGAAATAGTAATAACGAAGAACAAAACAGTTTCATTGGAAATCATAAGTCAGTCACAAGGAGTGGATGCATCTGCACCGGCCAGCCATTGAGAACAATTTTGAGCCATGTCGCCAATTGTTTCCAGCCTTCATTGGTTTTCGCCGTCCCGAGGACCCCAACCAGTCAGTCAGGAAGTCTACACCTTCCTACGTGGCTGGCTGGCTTAGACTAACTGTTGTAGATTTCATTGACTGGTGAATCCATGTTTTGGTTTGACCGCCACAAGTTCTTTACCAGCCTGACCCTATATCAGCTAACATTGCCCATTGTCGAGGAAGGCGATGACTAGGCAGGCATACGTAGCATATGTCCTAACCATATCAGTCGATGTAATTTCACAGTCTCGTTGATTGATTTCCCCTCCTTACCAACTAGCACTCGACCGATGCCTAACCTCAATATTGCTCACCTTATGATACCACTTCACGCGGGAGATAGAACGCATACACCTATGATCAAAGACAGCTAATCTTTTCATGTCTTCCACTCTCAATGACCAAGTCTCACAGCCAGCCATAAAGGAGGACGGAGCGGACTGATGAGCAGTACACACGCCCTATGGTCGATAGTCAGATATCACGTCTACACCAGAGACGGCGTAAACTGGCATATGCGAAACTAGCTGAGATTTCGTTATAGATCAACCCCTTTGGGTCTGATGGTACTTCCCAAGTAAGTGCAGCGGTCAACGTGCTCTACCACTTCGCTTCCTATTTCTAATCTAGGAGTCGGTGTGGTCCAATCCTGCAACATCATCTTACATTTTACAGGGGCGAATGGCATTCCAAACATACGAAGATTGCAGCTCAAGGTATTACAAGTTTGATTACGAGTTGACACCAGTCAGAAAGCCATTAGAAAATCTGGGAGTACTGGACAGCTGTTTCGTTCTAGTTTAAGACTCTTCAGCAGTATCCACCCGCGTAACGGATTTCTCCATCTACTCTGCTTCATCGAGTTTTTTATTTTTGCAATTATGAGAATATTTTTGTTGACTTGAATTTATTGCGAAGAATATTGTTAGGAGAAACAATGGTTTGTGTAGAATAAGATGGTATTATTATTATTATTTATGTTGTCGGCTTCTCGTCAGACGTATCCAATCTAAAACAAGTTGCTGAGTTTATGTACAGTGCAGTTTTAGTGTACTTTCATGGTGCGTGATATGATGTGAGACAGGAAAAACTCTAAATTGATTAAGTTTTCAGAAATGACACCTATACAACGTATGCACAAAAGTTCATATGAACTCTGTGGTCAAGATTTGACAGAATAGTTCTAAAATAATTGGGCGCTGAGTGAAAAAGTAGACATTTGTAAAATGTCAGCGAAATTGAAATGAGTAATTCCAACGTTACCTTGTGTTCGGCAGTCTGGTCCGAACTTCTTCAGGGAAATTAATCGAAATTAACATAACAGGGGTTCATATATAAAAAGGACATCAGTTATTTTTAAAAACTTTGTCCAATCATGATTCATAAACACAAGTATTAACAAGTATAATAAACCAAATTGTATGAACTGTGATCAAAATTTGACCCTGAACTTACAAATATTGGTCTACTTTTGTTAAACACTTTAAACAGAGTGTGTATGTGTGTGGGGGTAAACAGTTGTAAGAAATTTCTTAACGTCTCCATAAGAAGATATGGACAGTCGAGAATTTTGACCAAGTATTAACAATTAGTGATACATATCCATTTTTTATTTATTAATAAGGATTTCCTATGCATCAGCTAACATCACGCCTTCATGTCTGTTCAAACTGTTAGTATCTAGAATTTTATGATCAGACGTATTTTTTTTAAATTATGGTGTTTAGGACTAGAGTTTAGTAGAAGCACCCTGTCGAAATTATTGTTTTGTCTTCTTTCTGAAGATTGTTCTGCTTTAATCGACCTACTGGAGTTGTCAGGTAACTCAACAACTATGGATTTACGATAACGCATTTTGTTGCAGCCGACGGAGATTGAAAACACGATGATTGTACCAATTACATAGTTTCGACTGCCAAATTTTTCATATAAACTGTCTTTGAGATTTGATAGAATATTTCTGAAGTAATCAGTCGCCGAGTGAGATGTAGACTTTTGTAAAAATTTGTATGTCTTACGTCAAATTTTGGTCACAGCTCATACAGTTTTGTTTCTTATGCATGTTGATACCTGTTTCATGATTTATATGATTGGACAAAGTTTTTAAAAACAAGAGATGTTCCCTTTTATAATATAAATCTCTGTTACGTTAATTTGGATTAATTTCCCTGAAGAAGTTCGGACGCGTTTGCTGAGCTGAACTCAGGAAATGTTGGAATTACTCATTTCAATTTCTCTGAGATTTTACAGATGTATACACAAAAAGTTTTAAGATTAAACAATAAAGTATGTTTTTTTTGATGGCACACTAGTCAGTAACTAGTGTAATGTGTCTAGTCCTATTTTCGGTGCAGACTGAATTCTATCAGTCACGTTTGCAATGTGGCCACCATGCCACTAGGCGGCTCTTCATGACGGTGCACTGTGAATTGATGGTATTGCCTCCAACCACCGAATGTGAACAATTCACAAACATATACAAAAGATGAAAGCTTATATTAAAACAAAACCAAAAAATTATTATTAGGATATATTGGAAAAGAGAGTGGAGTAATAGAGACAAGTCAGTGATGAGCAACAAGTGAGTTGCGTAACAATGTGGTGAGTTCAGCTCAAATCATAGTAACAAAAGACAAGCGAAATTACATGATGGCTAAAGCAGAAGAGGTTAAAGCCGAAGATGATGTAATTTTGCGTGTCTTTTATTACTGTGATTTGAGCTGAACTCACCACATTGTTACGCAACCCGCTAGTTGCTCATCACTGACTTCTCCATATCTTGTCTCTATCACTCCACTCTCTTTGCCATTATATCGAAATAATAATAATTTTTGGTTTTGTTTTAATATAAGCTCGGACCTTTTGTGTATAATTGTGAATTGTCCGTATTCGGTGGTTGAAGGCAATACCAACAATTCACAGTGCACCGTCATGAAGAGCCGCCTAGTGGCATGGTGGCCACATTGCAAACTTGATTGATAGAATTCAGCCTGCACCGAAGATAGGACTAGACACATTATACTAGTTACTGACTAATGTCCAATCAAAAATTATATCCAATACAGTCCTCCAGGAGGTCAGTTGCGAGCCTCAATAGCTCAGTGGTAACGTCTCTGACTGCAGTACTCACTGGGTGACACAGGTTCGAATCTCAGAAGGGACGTGAGTTCCTTCAAAGGTTGCAGATACGTCTTGCTGACTGGTGAGTGCCAACTAGCACGAAACTTGGGTCAGACAAGGCTTCCTGCCAATCACCTCCAACCATCTCATACATAAAATGCTTCGGTACCCACAGTCTTACTCTACACCTGTGAAACCTAGCCTCCAAACTGAGGATGTTTGGCGACTCCGTGCATTCTGTCATCACTACCTCCGTAGAATTGTTTTTACCCTAAGTAATTCTGAGATCTGATAGCTTGTGCTTAGACACGATGAAGGTCACTCTTTATTGAATTTCATCGCCTGGAAACACGGCTTTGGTTATTTGGATATATGCTGCAATTATCGCCCCAGCCGCTTCCATATCGGCCGCTGTTAACCAGCTCTGCGACTGGGTAGAAAAAAGTGAAGAGGTGATCAGCTTGTGACATGGCACCGTGGAATATAGAGTATTCGTTGGGTTGGCATCAGTTAGTGCATCAATATTCCCTAAGTGGGGGCCCGAAAGAGGAAGAGAGAGTATTCTAATCAGTGGCTCGGGGCATTGTCAGATACAGCCAAAAATCTCAATCATTGGTGGATATATCGCAATCCTCTTTTTTCTTCTCTTTCTAAAAGTAACATGAAGTGATGAATATCGAATGATCTTGACAAGTATGCTTACTTGCTTTCTGAATAACCTACATCACATTTATTTTATGCTTATTTTTCTTATATGTTTTGGCTTTACTGTTTTTGTATGGCTCATCTCATAATGTTCGACGTTTGGGTTATAAATAACAAATAGTAGTAAGTCATATAAGACTAATTCCTGAGCAGTGTTTATTAATTTTGGTTTATTGGCAAATTAGTACGTGGAATACCTTCAGTCTTCTTTTTCCTCTGGAAGCCTCCAACCTACACGACTTTATCATTATTGTTATAGATATTCTGTTTTTTTTTTTTTTAATTTCCACTTTTCTTTTAGGGTTTTGGAACATTATTAATGGAGGAAGCTGAACGTATTGCTAAATATGAACATGGCTCATTGAAAATTGCAGTCATCTCTGGTGTTGGCACTAGAAATTATTATCGAAAGCTTGGTTATGAACTTGAAGGTCCGTATATGGTGAAACTTTTGTGATACATTCAATATTTTCATGGCAATAAGAAATGTCTTCCTACCATTCTTTGTACATTTTTTGCTTTTTTCTATAAAGATAAAAGACTCTTCACATACCCTGTAATTTTCCCTTGTTTATTTAATTTAAAATTAATCCTAAAATATGAATAACATTGAATGAATGAATGGAGTCAGTGTCTTTTTTAAGTGGATAGTATTCCGCGGTTTTTTCAAATTAAGGCAAAACTATGTCAAATCATACTTGCCGCGCTTTCGTTGGCGGTTGATTAAGGTTTGAATATCCTCAGATAGTCTATTTTGTAGTAGAATGCTATAATCACATCAGATTTTATGGTTTTGCTACTTTGAAGGTGTTCTTTCAGTCTTTCTAGGCAGCTAGGATATCTGTTTGGTTATTTGCTATGCGAAAAAACATTTCGCAATAGCCTTTATCATCACTTGGCAAGGCTGAACTTTAGGCACCGGAAGGACGTCAGCACACCAGTGACCTTGGAACCTCGGTCAACCAGTTAGTAAAACTAATAAGTGACACTGTATTTATGATAAAAAAAGCTCAATAAAATATGGTTTAGTGTACACAGTAGCGACCCAAGTTAATGGATGTCATGATTAATTTAATAGGCTCATAGTAAATACCGGGAGAAATGGATGTAATACATGAGTTATGTTGTAAACATCCTCCAGACTCAGTATTTTCGTTCTATCTAGATAAATAGGCCTGTCACTGAAGACTCTAATAAAGAAATCGGATATGCTTGGTACACATACGTGAGCACTACCCCGTATAACTATTTTTTAACGTTTTACGTGATTTCTATGAGAAACATTTTAACCATGCGCTTTTACTTTGGATTCAATGACTGGTTAATAAAGAAATGCCAGGGTCATTATGATTTAGAGCAACCATCTTGTGATATTGAACGGAATTCCTGCCTAGGTTCGATAAGGATTAAAGGTGGGTTTAGACTAAGGAGAGGTTAGGGTTACATTATTCTAATCAGGGAGATATTATGCTTCGTTCGAGTTAGGTTAGTGACATATTGGGGTTGAGGTTAGGACAGTAAAAAGATTAGCGCCACAAGGTTAAATTTATGTTTTAACGATGTGGCTGTTTCTGCGGTCACTGGTGCAATTACGCCTATGTGGTGCCTCAAGTCTAACTTCCTTTGTAATGTACTATGTCGGTGGCACAGTGGTTAGAACTCTCGCCAACCATGCACATGGTCTGAGGTTCGATCCCCTGCCGACGCACACCCGATATCTACGGTCGGCCTGCAAAATTTGGGCTACCGATATCCATGCTGAAAATTCCATACTTGTACCAAAAATACGGTGTGGAATCAAGCTGTAATCAAAATTAAAAAATAAAGGGGAGCAGGTTTAACTGAATACATTGAGTTTGTAAGCCTGCTGATGTATGAGGAGTTATCTACCGCTGGTGGGAAGCTCGAGGAAGAAACAAACTCACCTGGCAGTCGTAGTGTCGTGCTATATACTAGCTCAGCGGTAGTACAACCAGCATCGGTTTTTAAAGCGTTTCGTATCCCTAGGAGAACTAACGGAAGTGATTCAGTCCAATATGCATTGTATGTAGCTGATAACCCAGCCTTCAACTGTCTGTGTAAGAGTTCCACCATACCATTAACTTGAGGATGGCAGGCTGTTGTTCGAAAACGCATGCAAGCAATGATTTTAGTCAGGGCGAAGAATAAGCCGCTTTCGAATTGCCGCCCACGATCAGTTGTTATGGAGGATGGGTACCCAAAGTTTGCGATCCATCTTTCTACAAAGACGCGTGTGACTGTTTCAGCAGATACACCATTGAGGTGCACTGCTTCAGGCCATCGTGTGAAGGGATCGATGCAGGTTAACATATAGGTATATCCATGAGATTCTGGAAGGGGGCCAACTAAATCTATATGTACGTGTTCGAAACGGGCATCAGGGATAAGAAATGTACCAAGGGGGCTTTTGGTGTGTCTCACTACCTTGCACTTTTGGCAAGCTAAGCACGTGTGTGCCCATTCCCTTACTTCCTTATTAATACCAGGCCAACAAAACCGACCAGTTACGACCTTGACGGTAGTTCGAATACGTGGGTGTGATAAGCCATGCAACGTATTGAAGACGTTACGGCGATAACTTTTAGGTACGATAGGGCGAGGAGTACTAGTGGAAATGTCGCAGAGAATAGTATCTCTTCCTATACCTAGGGGTTCCTCGGCTAATTGCAGAGTTGTTTTCGACAACTCATGTTGAATCTCGGTATCTTCTTTTTGAAGACGAGCCAGTTTTACAAGGTCTATACCTTCTATTTGGGTGAGGGGACAAATGCACAACAAGGCATCTGCCACGGTGTCGTTCACTCCTTATATATGGCGAATATCCGATGTAAACTGTGAAACGCAGTCCAGTTGTCATGATTCCTTGAGTGAAAACTTATCTGAAGTTGAGTTCAGAGAGTACGTCAGAGGTTTGTGGTCAGTGAAAATTATGAATTCACGATCCTCAACTGAGTGTCGAAAATGGCGTATAGCACAGTACATAGCCAGAAATTCTCTTCCGAATGTGCTTTACTTCGTTTTAGATAATTGTAGGCGCCTCGAGAACAAGCGAGTGGTTGCCACTCTCTGTTAACTAGTTGTTGCAGAACTTCGCCGATTGCAGTGTCTGATGCATCAACTGATATACTTTACGGTGCCGTTGGATCCTGATACATGAGAAGTGTGGCATCCGCAATAGCTTGTTTTACCTGAGTAAAAGCATGTCGAGCAAACGCGTCAAGTTCGATGGACTTGTTATTCCCTCGAAGAAGGTCTGTCAATGGCTGAATCAGAGAGGCACAGTTGGGAATAAATCTTCGGTAATAACTTACCAAGCCGTTAAACTGTTTGTGGCTCTGGAAAGTTCCGTATCGCCTCGACTTTAGTAGCCAGTGGGAGAACGCCCTTGCAATCAATAGTGTAGCCTAGCAAGTTGGGTGAGTCAACGCCTATTTGACAATTTTAAATATTGATTGTAACACCATGTTGGCGAAACCTTCCAAATGCCAAGCCCAAGTGCTTAAGGTGAGTTTCCGTGTCTGGACTAACAATGAAGCAGTCGTCTAAGTATTCGTATACAAAGTCGATACCGCGAAATACTTCGTCGATGAAGCGTTGGAATGTTTGGGCTGCACTCCAGAGACCGAATGGCATACGTAGGAATTCAAAAAGTCCGAAAGGCGTAATGATAGCCGTTTTCAGAATATCTTCCGTTGCCATCGGGATTTGGTTATACGCTTTAACCAACTCGATTTTAGAGAACATAGCTGCGCCAGATAACGTTGCCGTCAAGTCGTGTATGTGAGGCAATGGTTAGCGTTTTGGCGTTCACTCGCTGGTAATCACCAGTGGGTCGCCAATCGTTGCTATCCGTTTTCGGTACCATATTAAGTGGGGATGCCCTTGGGCTATTCGATGGCTGAATGATGCCAAGGGTGAGCATATGATCGAATTCATTTCTAGTGATTCTCAGTTTGTCGGGAGAAAGTCATCGTGCTTTAGATGTCACGGGCTGTCCTGAGGTTATGATGTGGTGCATAACATTGCTGGTTATGCACGGGAGATCGTCAGATGGGCAATTAAGTTCCGGATATTTGTCAACAATCGGTTGAAAAGTTGGATCTAGGATTGCTTTCATCTTAACCATTGACAAGCTGGGGCCTGTGTAGTTGATGCATTTTATAGACAGACTAGTCGCATTGTCAATCAGTCGTTTTCGGCGGACGTCTACGGGTACACCATGATAATTAAGTTGGTCCGTTCCAATGATGGGCATTGTGACGTCAGCGAGAAGGAAAATCCACTGAATAGGTTTGCGTAAACTCATGCTCAAATAGACGTACAGTATTATTGACATGTTTACAACGACCTTGAGGCGATTTTGATTACTACGCTACATTCACGTTGCTACATAAAACTCTTATTTCTGGGGAATTTCCTGCCAAGAAGTTTCAAAATTTATTGTAATTATTTGCCTTTCGAACACTGAATCTGTGGATATAATCTTGTTGACTTACAATTCATTTAACTATCTGCTTGGCAGTTTGTGTCCGTCTTAGACTGACTAATATCTATAACTGTATATATTGACGGATTTACATGTTCAAGTTGGCTCAAGTCAGTGAGTCTATGATTTTTTATCAATTTTGCTATCTTTATCCGACTGTGATACCGCTGCTTACGTTTCGCTTTTATATTGTGGTTGTCGCTTGTTCTCTCCCTGTTGTGAATTATTTTCCTGTGCTGGTGTTGTTCTCATTGTTTTATTCCTTGTTTTCCTGGCTTTAAGGTGAGCAACCCACAAAGTTGCTTCTCTCTAAACTATACTTTAATGTAACAATCCCTTTCTCAGGCGTGAGGCTAGCAACACCACCCTGTGAACAAAGTTGCTACAGAAACTTTAGCACGATGAATTTCTTTGCGCCAAAAGAAAAGGTCTGTGTGGGGACATGGAATGTCCGCACCATGTACGGGATTGGCAAAGCTGCCCAGATCGCAAACGAAATGAAAAGATACGGAATTCAAGTACTGGAGATATGTGAAAGCGGATGGAACGGGAATGGACTCACCAAATTGTCAACGGATGAGTCAGTGACCTACTCCGGTCACCCAGAGGATAACCACATGCACACCGAGGGCGTGGCTATCATGATGTCACCAACGGCAACGAAGACCCTGATGCAATGGGAGGCGATCTCGCCCAGGATAATAACCGCCAGATTCAACTCCAAAGGAAGGAAAGCGTCAATTATACAATGCTATGCACCGACCAACAACGCAGACCTCGAAACGAAAGAAGAATTCTACAGACAACTACAGGCAACAGTGGACAATACTCCAGCTGGTGACATTAAAATACTAATGGGAGACATGAACACAGGAAAGAAACTCATCATGGGTAGAGAAGCTCTCAGAGAAATGAATGAAAACAGAGAACTCTTCGCCGACTTCTGCGATTGGTAGCAGCGTATACAAACATAAGGATATCCACAAGGCTACATGAGTGTCACCAGATGGGTGAACCAAAAACCAAATTGACTTCATCTCAATCTCAAGGAAGGTGAGGCGCAGCCTACTGGACACGAA